CATTGGTGGATTAGTCCACTGATGAGTTCATAGCTGAATGTGACATTGGCAGGAGCCTGATCTGAGGAGATGGGTAACCTGTGTCCCTCTTCCTCTCATGATCCCTCTCTCCTGTCTTGTCTCTGTTTCCTGCTGCTGTGCCACGAGCTGTCTTCCCTCTGCCGTGCCCCTCTATGCTGCCCTCCCTTATAGCCAGCTGACTATGGACTGAAACCTCTACAAAGTGTCAGGCAAAATAAGCCTTTCCTCCTTAGAGTTGTGAATTTAGGTATCATGTCTCAACAAAGGAAAAGTAACTAAAACACTAGGCATTCTAAGGTGTTTTGATCTCTGAAACAAAGTTTCTCTTTTATTTTGTAGTTTCTCTTTTATTTTTATTAGTACATGTTTACAGTACATAATGACATTTATTATGAAGCATTTGCACATGTATACAACACATCTTAATTCTTTTTTTTGTCCCCTACCCCTCCTACCCCTCTCACGGTTTCTCCTTCCATTTGAAAACTCTATTTCCATTTTTCTTTCTTTCTTTCTTTGTCTTTTTTTTTTTTTATTGGTACCAGAGATCGAACTCATGACCACACACTTGCAAGGCAGGCGCTTATGCCGCTGAGCTAAATCCCCAGCCCCTTTCTTTCTTCCTTTTTTTTTTAAATTCCTTTCCCCTTCCTTTTCTTCCCCCTCCCTCCCATTTGAAAGAGATCTGTTTCCTATTATCTATTCTTTCTTTCTTATCTTTTGGGTTTCTCATGTAAGACAAACCATATGATAATTAAACTTGTACATCTGATTTATTTCACAACATTATGTTTTTGTCTTTTTTTTTGGTCTTTTTCGTTTTTATCGATACCAGGGTTCGAACTCATGACTGCCTAAACCCCCAGCCCCTGTTTTTGTCTTTTTGAGACAAGGTCTCACTATGCAGTTCGGGCAGGCTGGCCTTGAGCTCATTTTGTAGTCTAGGTAGGTCTGGCACTCGCAACAATCCTCCTGCCTCAGCCTCCCAAGTGCTAGGATTACAGGCCTGAGCCACCCCGCCTGGCAATGGTTCTTCTTTTTTCAGACCTCTACTTTTCAGCTGAGAAAGTATGGGAAACCATTGTTTGTTCTCCTGCTTCTTTCAAATGGAGCTAACAGTAAGATAAACAGTGATGTCCTTTTAAATTGACTGTAACGTGAAACAAATAGAAGAGAGTGCTGAATCCGAGAGGGCAGGCTGGTAAGACGAAAGAATTCCTAGAAACACAGCAAGGGGAGGACAGTGGCCTACCGACCAGGTCTCCAGGGAGTACGCATCCATTCTTGAAAATCTGTCCTTGGAAATCTGTCCTTCCCTGGCCCTCGGAACTAAAACTAGCTCTGTGTGCTTGGGCAGGTCTCTCAACAGTCTTAATTCTCCAGCAGCAGAGCAAGTGCTGAGCTAGCTTAGACCATGCACCAAGCGCCTTCCACTCTGCCCTTCCTCGGACCCTAAAAGCCCCACACTTTCTGCCAAGGAAAGAGGACTCAGGAAGGACAGTGCTGTGGCCCGTTTCCTAGGTGGATGGAAATGAATGACTGTTAATACTGTATTTGTTTGCTAGGGCTGCTGTAATGAAGTCCTGCAGACTGAGGGGCATAAGTAACATTCATCACAGCACAGCTCCAGAGGACCAGAGGTCGGGGTCAGGGAGTCAGCAGAGTGGGTGCTTCTGGGACTGTGAGGCTGGTGGATCATCATCTTCTCCCTGTCTCACAGGCTCCCCTTTGTCCACACCTATGTCCACATGTCCTCTTACAAGGACACCAGTCATCTCGGATTAGGATGACCTCATTTTAATTACTGCTTTAAAAAAATGCCATCTGTAAACGGGGCGTGGTGGTGCATGCCTATAATCCCAGCATTCGGGAGACTGAGGCAGGGGAATCGTTACAAGTTCAAGATCAGCCTGGACTATAAAGTGAGCCCAAGACTAGCCTGAACCAAGTAAAAAAGTAATAAAAATCTCCAAATATAGGTACATTCCAAAATACTAGAGGTTAGGATTTCAACATAAAGATTTGGGAAGACACAATTGTCTGTAATTAAAAACAAACAAAAAACAAACCCTCTTTATGTCCCTTTGGAGGGAGAGCAATTGGGCCACCACTGAGGGTGTGCCAGGGGCAGGTGACTCTGAGCAGGAGAAGGTGCCCCAAGGAACCACGGGGAGGTGCTGTGCACCGGGAATGTGCTGGCGATGCCACTCTGCAGGCCCAGGGAGCTCACTTCCCGCCTCCCACTCACTCTCCCCAGCAGGCTGCTCCTCAGCCGCATTCTGGGATCCTGCAGAAAGACAGCGAGCTCACACCTGTGAGCTTAGCAATTGTCACTGACTCACCAGGAAATACCATGACACGGAGTGTTCAGCGCTCCTGACTCCAACCCCACACCGGCTTGCCTTTTTTGTCATCCCTTCCCCTGTTTTATATGGGTCGCTCCTCCGGGCTTCCTGCACAAGTGAGTCACTATCTGAGGGTGAGGTTCTATACCTGGTGGCTTCCGAGAACTGTGCAGGCAGGAATGTGAGTGCAGATAGCTGGGCAGATGGTGCAGCCGTGACTGCCTCAAGCTGCTGTCTGCCATGGGAAGTGGTCCTCTTGCCCAGGAGAAGGCTGGTGCTCACTAAAGTCTGTTACCTTCTGTGTGTTGAGCTTGTACCTCTAACATGCCATGCCTTTGATCAGGCTACATGTGTGATCGAAGCTTGGCTTTCTCTGTTAGTACAGTTAGATCAACTGAATGAAACTGGTAATCTGCAGGAACTGCTCAGTTACATTATCATGATACGTAAATAAAAAGTAATGAACTTGAAATGTACAACTGCAACTTGAAAAACTGTATTCCTAAGTAGGGGTAAAGACCAATAAAAGAGAATTTTTGGTAGCAGTAAAACCAGGAGCCAGTGTCACAGACGTTAAATGCATTTGTCTTTCCAGATCTAGTTTTTGTGGTGTCTTTGTGTTATTGTAAATCTTTGTGTACTTGGGACCCAGCACAGTGCCTGTCACTCATACTGTCTTTGCCAAAGGCTAGGAAGGCAAAATTCTTTTTCTGGATTTAACTAGTTCATCATTTGAATTTAATTCTTTGGTCTTTTGACATTTCGACTGGAAACAAATTCCTGCTGTTAGTTTTTAAATGTATCAGAATAAAGTGCATGCACCAGAAAACTGTTAAGTTTCTTGAAAAGAATATTCTTTTTCCTCTCTCTCTAGAGTCTCACAACTGGGACTTTGGATCTAGTTACTAGTGAGTCTTCTATTTAAAATCCACTTGTGAGGATGGCAATGGGCACTGAATGTACCATTGCTGCCCCCGACTGATGTGTTTGGAATTTTTGTCATCGTCATTGTTGTGTGGTTGTGGTCGGGGTCATCTTCTCTTTCTCCCCCTTCTTTTCTTTTTATCCTTGAAGTAAAATGGATTTGGAAAAAACAGTAAAATTTAAAAAATAAAAATCCACTTGATTTTTTTATAGTTAATTGATCAAAAAAACCATTTTTTTTTCCTTTTTATCGGTACCGGGGATCGAACTCATGACTGTCTGCTTGCAAGGCAGGCGCTTATGCCGCTGAGCTAAATCCCCTAAAAAAACATTTTTTTGAGGTAGATTTTCACTGTATTACTTAAGTTGGCCTCGAATTCCTGGCAATCCTCCTGTGTCAGCCTCCCAAGTGCTGAGATCACAGGCGTGCACCACCACGCTTGGCAAACCCCTTACTTTTTGTGTATTCTGTTTCTGATACTGCATTTGTAGAGAGCTAGACCAACTCGAAAACCACCTTGCTCCTTCTCCTTTCAGTGCTGGGCATGAGGCACAGTGAGGCGGTTTCCCAAACTGGTCAGTAATTTATAAGAGAAACTCAAGACTAGGAGTGAAGGCTAGTGTCAGCTAATACTGAGCATTCACTCCCATGGGGCTGGCACTGGGTCACGCCCTTTGCCTTCTTTAGTTCCTGGGCTCCAGCCCGGGCTGAGTCAGGCCTAGCTAACCCTACTCAGCAGCCAGACCCTGAGGGTTAACGTGATTCAAAGGAAGTGCCTGGCGCAGACCTGGCGGAGGACACTCACTGTGAATTCCTGGCGCAAGAAGAAGGCGATGCCTGGGGCATCCGAGCAATTCCCCACCCAGGCTCCCCAGGTTCCAGACCTGGGTCCCTCTCTCTCTTTGGTGTTTTGCCTGGGCCTGGTGTCCTGACCTCTCCACGGAGCTGGAGTTTCTGGTACTTTCTCTGTAGATTTCAGGTTTATTACACACCAAAATCTTGGTTGACTCGGATTCACTATTTTCTGGCACCAAAGGTTACCTGGTGGGAACGCTAGTCCCGCCCTTGGGGGCTGTAGTTCACATGTCCCCTTCTCTGTGGATTTCCGTGTGGCCGGAAGGGCAGGTCACTGTTCAGGGCGAAGCCCGGAGCCCCGCAGCTCAGCTCACGCCCCTAAGCACCGCCGGGCTGGGAGAGGTTCGATGTCCCGGGTCCAGGAGGTGAGAGTGGCCCGGCGGCCCCAAAGCCCACGTCGAAACCACCAATCATGAATGCTACCGTGACCAGGCGCTGCCGTGCACTGCTCATGGAGACGCCCCGTCCAGTGCCGCTTGCACACGAGCCAGAGGGGCACTGCGCCGTGCAGACCGGTGGTCAGGGAAGGCTTCTCGGAGGAGGCGCTGTGAGAGCCCCCGTTGGGATGACAGGAGGCGCAAGGGGCGAAGGCTCTCCAGAAATGGAGGTCGTTCAGCGTGCCCTGGAAACCGCAGGACCCCGGAAGAGCGGGAGAAGGGAAGAGTCGCCTTCGGCGGACGCTGACAGCGCCCCCCGGCCCTTTAAGGCGGAGCGTCGGAGCGCAGGCGGGGTGGGCGGTGCCAGGGATCCTGACGGCCTCTGATTGGGTGGCGCGGCCGAGCGAAGCGGCTCCGCGGGCGATCATTGGCTAGGGAGCCCAGCTCGAGGGCCAAATGATGCGGGGGTCTGTCCCGCGGCCACGTGGGGGGCGCGCAGCGCGGGGGCAGAGGCGCCGGAGAGCGCGGGGCTGTGCGGGACCGCGGCCGCGGCTACCGGCCGGGACTCGAGGGGCGGCAGGAGCGGTGAGTGAGCGCAGGGAGGCGCGGACAGGGCAGAGTGGGGTTGGGTCCGCGGTGCCAGGTCTCGGAAGCTGGACACGCATCGCCGTCTCCCGCGTCCCCGTCTCCTCCCGTCCGCGCCCCGTGGGAGCGACGGTGCCCGTGTAGGGTGCGCAGCCTCGCGCGGAGCTCAGCCGGGCCTGAGCGCAGGGTGCCGCCGTGGGGCAGCAGCCTCGACCTTGCGTGTGGAGCAGCGCACATGCCCGCATCTCGCACCGGGTCGCTCAGACCTCATGATTGCCCGTGGTCCCTCGCATTGGGTGCTCAGGGAGAGCAGGGACCGCGTCCACCTGGTCCGCGTCCTCTGGAGGAAAAGATCAGTGCGCAACCCCAGAGAAAGGGCTGGAGAAGGGATGAGGAGAGGTTGACTGCGCGGGGGTCACATCGGCCAGCCTTTTGGACCCCACAATCCGCGTCCCTGGCTACATGTACCCGGGCAGGTGGAGGCGGCATAGGGGATGTTTTGTGACAGTGAGAGCCAAGTTGCTGGCTGGAGCAGCCCCGGAGCATCTGGAGGAGGCCGCCAACGAGGGAGCAGCTGTTATCAGATCTGAGCTGTGCCCCCCACCCACGGTGTCTACTTCCTCCCCTCCTCTACTAGGGGCAGACTGGCAGCCACCAGTCTCCATGGGTGAGCGTCTGCTCACCTAGGGGAGGAGGGCCTAGGAGCATCTCCCCAGCATCTCCCGTAGCATCCAGTACGAGGGACCAGGGACTTTCAGGGGTCTGAGTGACCCAGGGCGAGACGTGGACGTGTGCGGAGAGCGCGCTTCAGCGCAGGGTCTGCAGGCTGGGAGGTGACGCGAGAAGGTGGCCCCTCCAGTGATACAATGCAGCTCTGGTATGAGGTGGCATAGGGCCTGGCACGTAAGCTCGAGAAGGGTGACTGATTTGTGCAGTCCTCGGCTTCCGTGCAAAACAGCGGGACCGTTGGAGGGCACCCGACCTCATTCCTACTGTGTGTGTCCCTTATGGAGGAGCTGACCAGCCAGGCTCTTAAGTAGAACTTCACTCTGGCCCCAGAGATCAGGGGATGGAAGCAGTATGTTTTCAGGGCTCTGTGAGAATTACCCCAACTCCAGTCCTGGGGATGAACTGCACTGTGCTCCCCAGGTTTGGGAGAGAGGTGGAGAAGAAAGAAAATTCCTGCTTCGGGGAGGCTGAGGATCTGAGGGATGAGATGGGGCCGGGTGAAAGTGGGCGGGGTGCAGCACTAGAGAGCCTTTGGCTGGGGCTCTGGGACTGACTGGATTGAGGAGACTGTTCTAGTGGCTCTCTGCACGTGACAGTGAGGTGAGTGCTGACCCTGGTGGCTCCCGCTGTGTCTCACCTGCTGAGTGCTGGGTGTCTGAGAGGGTGCATGGCACAGGCAGGGTGAAGTCTGCTCTCCATCGCCTCCTTTCCCTCCTATCTTTTATCTCTTCTGCATCTGGCCTCGGGCTCTGTTCCCACTTCTGTCCCCGTGGTCTTGTCATGTGTCCCCCACCCCGTGCTTGTTTTGTGAACCTTGCCTCCTCTCTCCCTGCTTCCAGGAGCACCTGTGGTATCAAATTAAAGGGGGTTAAAAGTTTCTCTGGGAGCCCCTTCTCACCAGAGAGAGAGAGAGAGAGAGAGAGAGAGAGAGAGAGAGAGAGAATGTCACCCACCTCTAGTGTCTAACTTGGCTTCATTTGAACATCAGACATACAATTGGAAAAGGACAGGATCAGAAAATGACCAGCGAAAAATGATAAGAATCAGAAAGTGGAGGCTGGGATGGCCCAGAAAAGTGGGAGGGGACAGAATGGGGGACCAAGAAAGGCTTTGAGGGGACTATGCAGCCTTTATCTTCCAGCTCTTCCCCTGCTGTCCACTCATTGAAAAGCATGGACAGCTGGTAGCACCTGCACCCTGGCCTGAGCCTGGGCTTGCAGGTCATGGGCAGGTACAGGCAAGTTGCCCTGGTGCGAATAGTGTCCCTTGCAAGCAACACACCCAGGGTCTGCCCTTCCTTGCCAGGCCCTGTCTGATCCCTGATTTCTTCTGGCCTCTTGGCTGGTCTCTCCCGTTTTGCACTCACAGACTGGTGGGCTCCTAGGTGTGATCTATGCAAGGAAGGGCCTAAAGGTGGCCAGAGCCTGCTGTCTTCCCGAGTTCCCTCTTGAGTGTTCCCTGAGAGACTGTTTGTTGAGCCTTTGCCCGAGTCTGGCTGGCATCATGCTGGGTACCTGCTCCCCACATTCTCCCAGGTTTGCTGATAAAATGGGGGCAGGAGAGATGAAGCAGGTGGCCCAAAGTCACACAGGGTTTGCACCCAACCCCCTGACCTGACCCTAGTCAGTGATTACAAGTCCACGTGAGAGAGCCAGCCAGGATGGGGACAGAGGGAGCATCTAAATTGGCCCTGGTAAAGTGAGGGGGAACCGAGTCCTTGGGGACCGTGGCAGAGGCATTCACCGAGGCATTCGGCCGTGCTTTGTCATTATCGCTGGTCCTAAGTGCAGTCATTCCACATCTACTGGGCACCAGCTGGGGTCCTGGGCTCTAAAGGGGAGTCCCCTGTCCCTGAAAACTGGCTCAGAAGGGAAGTCGCCTCCTATCCTGCTGGATGGCCCAGGGGCTCCCAGGAAGGAGCTGGGAGTTCTCCACATCCTGTCTCAGTATAAGTGCCTTGTCCAGCTTTCATGAGCTATCAGGGGTCGGGGGTTGAGGGAACAGGCTGAAGTCAGGGTGGCCCAAATGAGGCAGTAGCCTGTGAGGCGGGTCCCTGGCCTCATCAGCACTGGCCGGCAAGCTCATGGCCACCCCCATGAACTGCTCCTGTGCTACAGCCTGCTGTGGCTCCCTGCTGCCCACAGGGCAGAGCCTGAATTTCCTTGCTGACATTTAAGGCAGATCCTAAATTGGATCCAGCCTGCTGATTGGGAAAGGCCTGCCTAAGGGCTCCAACCGCTTGCCTTCCTTTGTACCTTGGCAGACTATAGTCGGGGCTGTCCCTGCCCCACCCCACCCCATCCCTTTGGTGAGCCTTCTCGGCCTCTCCTTCCTCCCCTACTTCCTCCTTTTTGAAAGATCTGGCTATTTTGCTCAAGATAGCCTCAAAAAAAAAAAAAAAAAAAAAAAAAAAAAAAAGGAGAGAGCCTCAAATTCCTGAATTTAAGTGAGCCTCTTGCCTTAGCCTTCCTAGGAGCTGGAACTACAGGCCAGCACTGTTACAGGCTGATTACATACAACTCTGCACCCCTGACTTTCACCCCCCACCCACCCTGAGAGGGGGGCTCAGGGTCAGCTCTGCAGTTCCAGCCTAAAGCGTATGCACGGGTGCACGCCCTCACCTGCACACCCACACCCCCAGACCTTCACCCAGTCCTCATCCCTGAGACCCCCACCTGGCTTTCCTGCCCTCTGCCCTGATTTGTCCCCATCTAAGCTCTCATGTAGCTTCCTGTCTTTCTCCCTGGAGAGAGTGTCGCCTGTGGAGGCAGGCAGCCTTCAGCACTTCTTCAGGGCTGTGCCTGCTGTGCCCAGGATGTCACGGCGCACAGAGCGGGTGCTCAGTGAGGATTTGCGGGATAAATGGATGAGTGGGTGAACTGACCAGGCACTGATTGGGAAGCACTGAGCCTCGCCCACCTGGAAACTGAGCTGTCCCTGCCTTCACAGCCTTCTCTCCGTGGAGCCTGAAGTAGCCGCCCTGGGGGCCATGCAGAGGGCTGGGGCAGGTGGCCGCAGGGCTTCTGACTGCGGGCCCACCCCTTACCGGCCCAGGTGCATCACCAAATTTGCCCAGGTGGGTGTGCCCTCCTGGGTGGTCGCTGGAGGCTGGCCCTGGGGTGGTGAGCGGGTGGGGGTTGAGGATTTACCTCCCTGTCTACTTTCTGACTCAGACCTTGCAATGTGCACTGCCGAGAGGTGGCTTGTGTGACCTGAAGAAGGTCGCCTGCTTTCACAGGTGGTGCCCTGTCCCTGCCCCTGCCCCAGCCTCTTTGGTAGCAGAGCATGTGTGTGTCAGGGCTGGGTCGGGTGGGGGGTGGGAAGCTGCCTGACTCCCCTGCCTTGCTCCCTCCCACCCGGTGCCTTGCAGTATGTGGGCTCCTTCCCGGTGGATGACCTGGATACGCAGGAGGGCGTGTGGCTGGTGCGGCAGCAGCTGTGGGCACTGAAGGTGATGGGGGGCTCATCCCCATGGGGACACAGCCCCTTCCCTCTCTAAAGGTGGGCAGGGGAGGTGTAAGACACTTACACCCGGGCTCCTGAAGCCCTGGCCCTCATGCCCAGGACTTCCTTGAGGCTGCCTGGACCCGCACCCCACAGCTGGAAGGGATAGTTGGGATTAGAGCTGTGACCCGGCTGGGGGGCAGTCCTGCTAGGAGCCACCCCCATTCCCAACTTCTGAGCATCCAGTGCCCAGGGCACTGTATCCTGGCAAGGGTGCTGGAGTTGGCGAGTGGTCCAGGGCTGGACTGGGGGAGTAATGCTGGCCTCCACCAACCCTCTTCCCCCCAGGACTGTCCCCGACGCCGAGCAGTCATCCTGAAATTCAGCCTTCAGGGTCTCAAGATCTACAGCGGGGAGGGAGAGGTAGGAGAAGCTGGTGGAGGGGCAGGGAGGCTGGACAGTCACAAGTGTGTCCTCTGTGGGACCCAGCTGAGCCCCCATCCTGTCCATCTGCTCTGAGGGTCCCCTGGATGGTCCCTTTCACATTTTGCCCTTCAAAAATGTCCAGGGCCCACTCCTGGCTTCTGACATCAGGAACATAAGCCCTGCCAGCATGGAGGCTGCCCTGCACGATGTCAGGCACACAGGTCAGCAGCCTGATGTGGCCTGGTAACTCTGCTCCCAGACGCTCCTGATGGCCCATGGCCTCCGGCGCATCCTCTACTCTACCTGGAGCCCGGCCCGCTGCCAGTTTGCCTTTATTGCCCGGAACCCACGAAGCCCACCCAGCAGACTCTTCTGCCACCTCTTTGTGGGCAGCCAGCCTGGAGAGGTACCTGGGGCCCAAGGCAGGGGATGCACCGAGGCTGGGGTGGTGTAGGGTCAGAGGTGTCTGGGCCTGGCAGAGCTGCCCTGAGCCCCTCTAGGCTCCCATAACTGAGTCCTTCTTTGACCTTGCCCACTAAGGACTCCTGCCCCATGCAAACTGGTGGTCTTGCCATTTCCTGGAAGCCAGAGCACAGACTTTCATGGCACCTGCCGTTCTCTACCTGAATGCCTGCCCTGCCCTCCTCCCCTCTTTACCCTCAGGACTCCCCCTTTCCTGCCTGGTGCCTGTGACGCCTGGGAAGTGGTCTTGACTCCCCTAGGCAGCCCCTCCTGCAGAGCCTGTCCCGGGACTACTCCAGCTTTCACCTGTCACTAAGCACTGGTGCTTGAGTTCCCTGAGTGCAGAGTCTGGGGCCAGGGCCTGGACTGTCCCAATGCGTGGCCCTCTGCGGGTGGGTGGCATGAGTCTGTGGCAGGTAGAGCTGGGAGTCAGAGCCAGTGTGACCAGTATGAACCACAGCTGTTGGGCAGCAGAGGTTGGGTCATTCCATCTGGCAAGCATTTGCTGTCACTATTAGATGTCCAGCTTTGTGCTGGACACTGGGGTTATTCGTGGCTGCCGCTCGGGGTTCTAGCATGCTGGCCCTGTGTGGGATGGATATTGGCCCCAGATAGCTACTGAGCTTGCATCGAAGTTTTGTGTGCTCCACTTTATCCACTCCTCAAGGAACACAGGGAGGTGGGGATGAGGAAACTGAAGCACTGGGGGGCACCGTCCTGCACCACGGTCAATATGCAGTTCCTGAGTGATGACCAGGTTTGGAGCCTAGGTTGTGACTCCAGCACTGCACCAAGTGGGTGTTTAGTATTCATTAAATAAATAAGGCTGGTAGGGAGACTGCATGGTGGAGAGGTTTTGAGGGATAAAATAGAAGTTTTCCTAAGAGGAAAAGAGAGAGGCATCCTAAGCTCAGGGGCTTTATGCGCTGCTGGAGAGCTGGCAGATGCCTGGGGAGCCCCAGGGAGCCTCCTCTGGCTGAGCCTGCTTCTCTCCTGCCCAGGTTCAGATCCTGTACCTGCTGCTCTGTCGATCCTTCCAGCTCGCTTACCTCCTGCAGCATCCTGAAGAGCGGGCACAGCCTGAGCTTTCCCCTGGGCCTGCAGGCGACGCGTCTCCAAAGCCACTCTCCAGCTCAGGGGGTCCTGCTACCCTGGTGCGGGAGCCCTTCAGCCATAATCAGCTCACACAGAACGTCCGTGCCCTGGTCTCTTTACAGCGGCTGCCAGCAGAGAAGCCAGGGGGCACTAGTGGGGTATGCAGCACCCCGGTCAGGAATGGGCAGTGCACAAGGCCACTGGGCGAGGGCTTGGAGGTCATGGTGGAGGGGTGGGCTTCCAGGGATGTTGCTGGACCTGATGTGGCTGGGCCTGCGTCTGTCCACCTGCTGGCCCCTCTTGGTGCTCTAGAAGGAGCTGCCTGAGTCAGAAGGCCGCAGCGCCCGCCATGCCCGCCTGGGGAACCCCTACTGCTCACCTACACTGGTGCGCAAGAAGGCCATTCGCAGCAAGGTGATCCGCTCGGGGGCCTACCGGGGCTGCACCTACGAGGCCCAGCTGCAGCTGTCGGCGCGGGAGTCCTGTGAGTCAGGGTGTCTCCTATGCATGCGCCAGCAGCCTGAGTATGCGTGTGTCATGGTGCCTGTGCAGCCGTGTGCGAGCTTTACTGCCGAGTGGGTGTGAGTGGGGCTGCCGGCTTGCAGGGTTGTCTGCGGGGGAGGGGCTGAGGCCTGCCGATCGGGACCTGGGATGAGGACAGAGGGAGGGAGGGTCCGAAGCCTTAGGCCAGGCTGCTCAGGGCAGGGTTTGGCCTCTCCCTGTCTGACCTGGGTGGTCTCCTTAGATCCTGCTGCATGGGAGGCGTGGCCCCGCAGTCCTGGTGGCCCCCCATGCCTGGTGGAGATCGAAGGCAGCCTGACAGAGAACATCTGGGCCTTCGCTGGCCTCTCCAGGTAGGAAAAGCCTGACCTGGCCTGATGCCCAGTCCCTTGAGGTGTGCAGAGAAATGGGGGGACGCCTTCCCATTGTGGTGTGTGCACCCCTGTGCATGGGCAGAGTGCTCCCCGCCTCAGGGACCTCAGGCCAGGGACTTCTCCATCCTGGGCCTTAGTTTCCTCAAACATAAGATGTGTGTGATGGAACCATCCTCATGGGCTGTGGGGAGATCACATGAGGTGATCAGGGGAAGGCCTCAAGGTTTGGCCTGTCCCAGGGCCTCTCCCCTGATGGGAATCTTGAAGTTTCCAACAATTAAGGACCTAGAGGGTCTTTTCTTCTCTCCCTTTTTTTTTCACCATTTGGGGGGTTGAACCAGGACCTTCACACTGAGCTAAACCACTAGCTCCTTTTTATTTTTTTAAATTTTGAGACAGGGTTTTGCTGAATTGCTAAATTGTCTGGACGGGGCTCAAACTTTTCCATCCTCCTGCCTCAGCCTCTCAAAGCACTGGTGTCCTAGGTGTGTGTGACCACGCCAGGCCTGTAGGTCCCTTTAACTTCCTAAGAGCTTCCTTGCACCGAGCAGCCACCTTAGGCAGATGCTGTGTTTTTAGGGGCATTTATTTAATCCTCAGGCTGGCTCCATGCCTTCTGGCTGTTGCATCCATGCCCAGACCCTCACGCAGCCTGAGGTTGGCTTCTGACTAGGGGTCCTAATGTAAGCCTACTGTCTGTGCCCAGGCCCTGTGCACTCGCTCTGCTGCGGAGGGATGTGGTTGGTGCCTTCCTGTTGTGGCCTGAGCCCGGTACCAGCGGCCAGTGGTGCCTGTCTGTGCGGACGCAGTGCGGGGTGGTGCCCCACCAGGTCTTCCGGAACCACCTGGGCCGGTACTGCCTGGAGGTAAGAGCCTGGAAGCCTGCAGGGGTGGGGGTAGCATGGTCCTGGCCCGACCCCTCCCCTGTACCTGCCTTTTGTCCTTCCTGTCCCCTCCTTTTCTGAGGCTGGCCCCTTGAGCTTGCCCACGATGTCCGACTGGTTCTCTGTGGCCCCCGCGCTTCCCCACTCTCCCGCCTGCTTCCTCCTGGGTCCTGGGCCACTTGACTCTGCCACTGCGCTGCTGGCTGTGCCTTGACCTGGAGACTCAGCGAGGACAAGGGGGTGTCAGGTCACTGAAGGGCTCTCATTAGAAGGGACGCTTTTGGAGGGAGTCTCAAATAGAGTTGGGCCTAGATAGGGCCTCACATTTTTATATAAACTGGCTTTTGAAAGTTCTGCTTTCCCACTGCCTAGAGCCTAGGCCATTTTTAGCAGAGGAGGAAAGTGCTGAGCTCACACAGCCTGTGAGTCTCTGGTCAAGTACTGGCCTGCCCAGGTGGGAGGAGAGGAGAAGGGAGAAGAAGGGAGGGGAGAGGGAAAGGAAGGAGAGGAGAGAGGAGAGGAAGGGAAGGAAGGGGAAGGGAGGGGATCTGGCTCAGCCATGACAGCACCTGTGACCTCTCTGAGCTCTGTTTCCTCTCTCCAAAGTGGGGTGGCGTGGGATGGGCCTGGAGCTCAGGATCCTTCCTCCGCAGCACCTGCCAGCGGAGTTCCCCAGCCTGGAGGCCCTGGTGGAGAATCACGCTGGGATGGAGCGCAGCCTGTTCTGCCCTCTGGACATGGGCCGCCTGAACCCCACCTACGAGGAACAGGACTGTGGGCCCCAAGGCAGGCCCCCCCGGACGCTGCGGCCCCTCAGCCATGCCAAGTCTGAGGCAGAGCTGCTGGGCCTGGGTTAGAAGAGGGATCCGGCTGGCTGCAGCCTCTGAAGCTGCTCCGCCCTCTCACACCCCACTGGCTGCCAGTTCCATGTGTCTCAGCCCCCAGTCAGTCTTCCATCGCTTCACTGCCTGCTATGGAGGAGCCCTGAGATTGGGCGGGTGGCTCCCAGAGATTCTAGGAGCAGGAGGTGGTGCACCAAGCTTCCCAAAACTTTGGTGATGGGATGTTTGTCTCCCAGGCTAATGCTCTGCCCCTGCACGGGAGCTTTTCACAGGGGTGGTGCAGCCTTCTGCCAAGGAGCTGGGCCTTGGCCTTTGCCTGGGAGGCTCTGGAGAGTTCCTGACCGGAAACCAGACCCGTGGAGTAGGAATCACAGCCCCTGGGCTCTTTCCCTCTGGCCATTCACCCAGGAGGGTGGCACTGAGCTGCCCTGCCCAGCTCACCCTGCAGACCATGTTGCTTTGCTGGCTACCTTGGGAGGCCACCTGATCCTGATGTTGCCTTTGATACAGGTCTGGCTGTGGTGTTGAGGCCACTTGTCTCATCAGGCCAGTGCCATGGGGATGGGACAGAACAGAGTCCTCAAAGGTAGACAGCCCTTGGGGCTGGGGATTTAGCTCAGTGGCATAAGCGCCTGCCTTGCAAGCAGGCAGTCGTGAGTTCGATCCCCGGTACCGATAAAAAGGAAAAAGACAAAAAAAAAATCATAAAGGTAGACAGCCCTGTCTCAGGGAGCTGGGCATCAGCAGCAGGGGAGAGCTGGGCAAGCCTTTCTAGTGGAGGAGGTGGCCCTGCTGGTGCCTGATGAGTCCTTTGTAAGACTTGGCAGATAAATATGAATCTACCGTGGGACAAGTTCGTTTCTGATTAAATTGCACTCCTGAGGCGAAGACCAGGTAATGTGTCTGGGCCTGCCCTTTCCACCCTCAGGGTACGGGGTGAGTCTACTGATCAGTGCCTTGGAAGTAACAGATTTCTGAGCGGGCAGGAGGAGAGCAGCCCCAGCAGAATGGAGGGGAGGCAGGCACGCCTAATGTTCCCAGCCTCCAGCCCTGGCAGGACGTGACTTGGCTAGAGACCTTAGCACTTTAAGTGAGGTGCCACAGTGGCTAGAGGAGTGTCCTGTGGGCTCTTGTCACTGGCAACATTGCACTGACTTCATGCTGAATGTGAGGGACTCCTCCAGCCACCTGTGCTGCAGCACCCCTGCCCCGGGCAGAGCGCTGGTCTCTGGGAGGCTCTGCCTTCCTCCGCCGGCAGGGAGAGGATGGGGAATCCCACACCTAGGGTGGCAGCTCCTGAGACCTGCACCTAAGCAAGCCTGGCCATTGGCCTGTGCTTGGGCCAGGCTGTCTCCGGGGTGGGGTGCTGTGAACAAGCTAAGGGGTATTCAGCAGGCCTTTCTGGCATTCCTCCAAGCAGTACTTGTGGATCACGAGTTACAGATAAGGGCAAGAGTTTTGCTCGTGTGTGTGAACTACGCATGTCAACAACAGACCACAATTTTTTTTGTCTTTGTTCCACCTAACACCACCTAGGAAGCCAGACTTTCCTTACTGTGTGGACTGTGAGACAAATAAAATGCATTTCTTCAGGTTGTCGAGTGCAGACTTTTGTTTGAAAAGCATGGTCTCCATCCAGTTTGCCTGGATGTGTTTGTGTTCGTGTTTGTTTCTAAACATAAAACATACCTTCAGCTGGTGCAGACCCCTGGGGGCTGACAGTGTCCTGAAGGTCTGGGGTAGATTGAATCAGATCCTATCCCTCTTCTGCTTTAAGCCTGCAGTGGGTATCTCCTATAAGAGAAAGATTCAGGACCCTGTGCTTTGGCAACTAGGGCTTGCTTTCTGCTTCTGCAAAATGCCACAGGACGTTTGCACAGCCAGATGCAACTCCTCATTCTCCCTTCCTTTAGCCTGGTTAGCTCCTCAGCTGTCATAGAGCAGCTCTAGTCGGTCCCAGAATGCCTGTCCTGACTGCCCAACCAGTGAGGACAAACCTAGGGCATGCACATTGCAGCGGGCTGTTTGTTATATCCCAAAGCTCTAAAAGGTTCACCATTACTGGCCTAGACCTAGGTTACTTTTTCAGATGTTCCACAGAACTGGTTCTGTAGTTTGTACTTTTTTCATTTATGGGACTTTGCGGGATTTTTGCTTTCAGTAGCAGTCTGCGCACTGGACTGCGGCCTTGGGGGCGGGGCTGTTTTCCCCGTATCAGCTCCAGTGCCAGGGGTGTAACTGATGCTCGTTGTTTCCAGGCAGAAGATTCTAGAAAAGGCGTGGCAGAGCAGCTCTTCTGGGTGGGGGATATGCTGAGTCACCTTTCCATCCAAAAGACTTCCACTTCCTGCCCCCTACTTCTAGGATCCAACTCGGGTGCTCCACCAGTGAACTACACCTTGACCTCTTTTTATTCCAATAAATATTTATGTTGCCCAGGCTGGCCTCGAACTTACGGTCCTTCTGCCTTGGTCTTAAAATTTATGGCCCTGGAAAAACAGAGAGAGTGATCAGTTGTCCAGGGGCTGCAGGATGGGGACAGCCTTCCCGTGAATCAGGACGGGGAGATCAAGGTCCTGGTCGCTCTTCTCTGTGAGCCTCTAACCTCCACCGGAGGCCTCCTCTCTCGGGTCTCTCCACCTTGGAGGTTCAGCACGGGCCAAACTGCGAAGCTGCTGAGCGATGAGCTCGGACGCTCCGATCTTCAGCCCCGGGGAGGCAGCGCGCGCTCTCCAGGAACCGCCTTTGTGACGTCACGGGCGTTGCCCGGCAACGGCGAACTCCGCTACCCCTGGGTTTGCGCGTGCAAGCGGGCGGCCTGGTGGCTCGGGGCTCAGGTCCTGCGGCGGCGGAGGCGCGTGCAGCGCGGACCCCCCACTTCCCGCCCGGCCGGCCTCAGAGACTCGCCCGCGGCCCCTGACTGCTCTGGGCGGCCCCCCAGGAGGCCCCTCCCCCACGCCGAGCCGCCCCGCCCCCCAGCCCCTCGGGTCCCCGGGGAGCGCCATGGCCTCGGAGTCCGTGAAGGTGGTGGTGCGCTGTCGCCCCATGAACCAGCGCGAGCGGGAGCTGAACTGCCAGTCCGTGGTGACGGTGGACTCCGCACGCGGCCAGTGCTTCATCCAGAACCCGGGCGCAGCCGAACAGCCCCCCAAGCAGTTCACTTTCGACGGCGCCTACTACACGGAGCACTTCACCGAGCAGATCTACAACGAGATCGCCTACCCTCTGGTGGAGGTGAGGCCGCCCGCCGCCAGACAGGGCTCGGTCAGCACTGCCCCAAGCCGGGAGGAGGCCTTTGGTGTGAGGGGTGCAGGAGGATAGCAACAGGTTGTTCTGAATTCGTGCCCAGGTCTCCAAGGCTGGCTGGAATCCCATCCTTCCAGCACCTTCCCCAGAGAACTCCAGGCCTGGGACCATTTATTTGCCCTCCATCCTGACCCCAGACCTACAGGACCCGGGAACCGCCAGCCACTTCCCCAGGCTGCCTCATCCCTCCCAAGACCCCAGGTCTCCTCCTCCTACGCTAGGCCCCTCCTGGGCCCCTCCCCCAGGCCCTGACCTGAGCTTGCTGCCCTGTTCAGACTCCCAAGCTGGTTCCTCTCCTCCACCTCAGCCTCATCCTTCCTAGGGCCTCCTGGGGGTGGAGAAAGGACCCCACTGGTCCCCAATTATGCAGAAAGCCCCTGGCCTGGCTTTGCCCTGAGGAAAGGCCATCCTTTACCTTTGATCTAACCTGTCTCTTACCCCCTTGGGAAAGGATAACAGAGAGGTGACAGTTTCTGGCTTATTTTGACTCACACTGACAGCTCACTTGTACATCCTGACAGGGCAAACGCTCACATTTCCACACGTGGGGAAACTGAGGCCAGAGGCAGGAAACGTGTCCCAACTTCCATGTTAGCTACTGGCAGCGTTAGAGCTGGGGAAACGCCTCCTGTGTGCTGGCTGTGGGCTCTTTCCTCTCCACCGGTGTCTCCCAGTCTGAACCTGATCGCCAGGTCAGTGACACATACAGGGCTGTTCTGTGGAGGATGAGATGGTTCAGGAGACACTTCACAGGGTGTGGTGTGATGTCAGGGCCTCTGAGAAGTCCCGAAGTGAAGAAACCAGCTTCAGTTACTGAAATCAGTGTTCTCAAACACTTGACACGGGTGCTTTGAGTTTGGGCAGGCTGGCTGGTGGGGGCGCCTCCCCCACCTCCTGCCCAGGTGTCAGAGCCCTTGAGACGGCTGAGCTGTCCCTGGTGTCTGGGACCTGACTGGAGATGATCCCCAGAGGATGAGGGGCGGCTCCCCTGTGTATTGGCTCCGGCTCCGGATAGCAGGTTGCCCATTGGTTGGTCTGGATTCCCAGACTGAAAGGTGCCCGATGGCCCATATGGCCCAGCCCTCTCCTTCCAATGGGTCCCCAGATGTCTGTCAGGTGGAGGAGGACCAGCCCTTAGTATGATTCTCCACCAATTGGAGCTCGTGTTTCCCAGAGCAACCTGCTCCACCTTTGTTTCTGGGGTCCTGGAAGACCCATCTGTGCACTGCACCAAAGCCCCAACATCTTCAGCCACCTGCCCTGGCTCTGTCCCGGGATGCTGCAGAACACCTCTGTTCCCTCTCCAAGGCTGGTCCCTGTGAGGCTTGACAGCATGTTCTTCCTGGGCCTTGCCTCCTCTAGGGCCTTCAGCCTGGCTTTGGAGTGGTCTTAGGCCCTGTCTATCCTGGAGAAATGTCCTAGCAGGCTTCTCTGTCAGGGTCCCAGAAAACCCCAGCCTAGAGAGAGAGACACCAAGGACACAGTGACAGGGCTGTCAGACCTCTCCTTAGTGCTCTCTTCTCTTCTGACTTCTGCTGGTGCGGACCCCTGCTTCTGATTGTTCTGCACAGCCTCAGACTGGACATTCATTCATCCATCCAGCTAACTAAACAATTGCATCTCCATACCGGGCACTGTCTGGGCCTGGGGTTCATGTGAAAGAGACGATGCCCACTGCCCTCGGCAAGCTCAAGGCCCAGGGAGGAGCAGCTGAGCTGATAGGTGGGTGGGAGAAGCCTGAGGGCTTTGGCAGCATGGTGAGGAGAGGCCCTCTTGACTTGAAGCGGATGAAGGTCAGAAGGACCCTCTGGGGAGGGGAGGGCTAAGCTGGACTCTGAAAGGTGAGAGGAGTCTGCTGGACAGGAAGATGGAAGAAAGAGCCCATTAGGGAGAGACCAGTGTGTAGCACTTGGTCTTTATAAGAGGACTGAGGCTAGTTCTCGTGGTTTATCCTCCTGCTCAATTTAAAGGAGGGGCATGCAAATCATATGCAAAACAGTATTCAAATAACATGCAAATCACAGCTGAGCCTGCCTCTGAGCCAGGAGCAGGTGCACTGCCAGGGCCTGGGGCCAGGTGTGCGGCTCTGACGCTGCTCCCAGGGGCTCCAGGAGCCTGCTGCTCAGGTCCAAAGGCTCTGGTACTCTCGGCTGCCACTTTCTCACTTTCTGCCCTTTCCATTTTGTTTTCCACTTTTTAAAGCCGGGCTCTCTTCCTGATCTTTTGTCTCCAAGTGGTGGCCTTTTCAACTTTCGTGGGTACCTCATCCCCAACCCCTTTTTTTATTTTTTAATTTTCTTGCTAAGTCACCCAGATGAGACTCCAACTTCTGATCCTCCTGCCTCAGCCTCCGCATGGGCCGGAATTACAGGTGTGTCACACTGTACCTGGGCCGAGTCCCTCCTTAACCGCTGGCTCTGCAGCGTCTCCTCCTGTTCCTTCACACCCATGGCCTCGGAGCGGCCTCCTGCTGTTTGCTCAGGGGTCACTTAGTGAGACGTCTTCCCTGACTGGGATGGGACAGGTGAGATGGACCTGGTCTCTGGAGACGTCAAGAAGAGGAAGCTATCGGATTGGACCCTGGATGAGACATTCAGGAGGGAGCAGAAAGAGGATGGAGGGGAGTCAGGCCAGATGTTTTAATTTCAGTAGTAGATGAAACATGCCACACATCAGGGTGTAACACAATGTTGTAAGAGTTATCGCTGAAGGTAACACCAAGTTAAAGAGGTCCTGGACACATCCCCACAGAGTGAGGGAGAGAGATGCACGAGACGGACACACATATAGTCCATTAACTATTGATTTTATGAAAACGCTTTAGTAAATAATGTGAGTGGCTGGCAGAACCAGCGTGGGAGTTGAGTCGTGCACTTGGGACCTGCTCCGTGTGGGGCTTGTGTCATGGGACCTGCTGTAGAAACAACCTAGAAATGTTTTCTACTTAACTCCAGAGCACTGGATCCTATAGAATTTTCTGGGACATGGAAATGAATCATATCTTCACTGATCAATTAAATTAGATATACACAAGCTGGGCTTGATGGCGTGTGCCTGTAATCCCAGCACTCAGGAGGCTGAGGCAAGAGCGTCACCACAAGTCTGAGACCAGCCCGAGCCATGTAGTGAGTTCAAGGTCAGCCTGCACTACATAGTAATATCCTGTCTCAAAATACCAAACCAAACCAAAACAACAACAAAAAAACCCCACACAAGCCGCATGGTGGTGAGTGGCACTTGAAAGAGGCCAGTGCTGTAGGGGAACTGAATTTTAATTTGCTTTGATGCCCGCATGTGGCTCGAGGTTCTGAAGTATTGCCCTCCAGCACAAATATCAGAAAAGCCGTATGTATAGCTTGGGACTATCTGGTGGCCCTATTTGAAAAAGTAAAAACTCAGTACAGAAAGCCAAAATATTATCAGTTCAATAAATATAATAGAATATTGTCATTATATAAGAAATATTAATGAATCTTTGATATGTCTATATTCTATACAGTTACAGTACATCTCAGTTTCAGTCATTGAAATGAAACAAAATATAAAATCGTGGTTAATGAAAAATGTTTTGTATCGCTTCTGTCTTTTTTGAGACAGGGGGTCTCTGTAGTTCAGGCTGGTCTTGACTTCACCATGTAGCCTAGGCTGGCCTTGAACTCAGGGAGATCCTCCTGCCTCACCCTCCGGAGTGCCGGGATTTACAGGTATGTGTCACCACACCCGGCTTGCTTCTGTTTTTAAATATAAATTACTTAAAGTAAAATAGAGCTGGGGATGTAGCTCAGGGGTAGAGTGCTTGCCTACTATATGCAAAGGCCTGGGTTCAATCCCCAGCACAGCGAAAGAAGGAAAAAAAAGTAAGCATTACTTAATTAAAATAAATTGGGTTTCACTTTTACAGTCGCTCTGCCTACAGTTTGGATCATGTCTATACCTGGAGCTGTTCTTTTTCCGGGGTCCCCAGTTGTGGCCCCACTGTGTCTGCCTGTGGGCTTGAGAAGCTAGCCCAGCCCCTGGGTCGGTGACCCTGCACTGCCTGTGCACTTGGGCAACCCCTGCATGTGTGCCGCTGCCCGGGGGACCTGCAGGTGTCCCGAGGTGGTCATGGTCTCCCTGGATGAGGACAAGGTTTTCATTCATCTCTGCCAGTCAAAGTGGGCCTTGCCTGCGGGGAGCTGTGACATGGTGGCTTCGGTCTTCTGCACCTCTGCTTTGGTCCAGGCCTGGGTTTCACCATGGAGCTGGGTGTGGCGGCCACTGCAGTAGGCCTTGGGGGCAGCTCTCTGGGCCAGTGCTCTGATCTGGAGCCTCTCCCACCTATAGTAAATTCTAGAACTTGTGACCTCATGGGCGCTGTGTGGGCAGGGACCATGTCCACCTTGTTCCCTGTTCTGTCCCCTGCCAGTAGCTGTCGGGAAACTGAGTGCATCGGTGGACAGAGTGACATTAGGGACTGTGCTCTGGCGGCCTCCAGGCCTCCTTCCCAGCTCATCTTCTGGCCCCCTGGCCCGCTGTCAGGGCGTCTCCTGTGTGTGCTCACGCTGGGCCCTCACGCTCTCCCTGTCACCCATCAGAGTCCAAACCACCCTGCTCGCTCCCTCCCTTGTATGCACTGCACAGTGCTCGCTCCTCCGAAGGCTTTCCCTGCTCCTCTGTGCTCTGGCCTGGTCCCCTCTCTGCACTCCACTCTGCCTGTTGCAGGGACACCCCTGCCCCTGCCAGCCTCCCTCCAGCTGACCTTTAAGAAGTGGCCGCGTGTACCAGGACTTTGTGTGCCAATGCATGCAGCATGCACCATAAACCGCTGCAGGAATGGTGCCGTGCCTGCCCTTTATGACAGACAAGGAAACTGAGGCTCGAAGCACCCGAGACCCACCCAAGAGCACACGATAGAGTAGAGACAGGAGTAGAGACAGGATTTGAACTCTGGTGCTTGGGTGCCACAGCATAAGCTCTTAATTCTCACAGGCACAATCTCCCACCACCAGTAGAGCACACACTACTGCCCGCGCCCCAGGGCAGGAGACTCAGGGGGCTTGAATCCTCAGGCTACGAGGAGGTGTCACTGCCTGCCTGGGCCTGAGTGGCTGAGCCCTGGCCTTTGGCCTCCTCCCTCGCAGGGTGTCACCGAAGGCTACAACGGCACCATCTTTGCCTATGGCCAGACGGGCAGCGGGAAATCCTTCACCATGCAGGGCCTGCCGGACCCACCCTGCCAAAGGGGCATCATCCCCAGGGCCTTCGAGCACGTGTTCGAGAGTGTCCAGGTATGGACCCTGCGGAGGGAAGGAGCAGAGCTAGTGTCACAAGCAGGCTGGTCCCCAAGGCGCTTCTGACCTTTGGCATGGGCTGTGGGACGCAGTCAGAGCTCTGCCTTGACTTGGCACAGATGAGTGGGCAGTGGCCAGCTGGTTCCAGAAAAAGTGATGGGAAAAAAAGCTCAGAAAATTCTGCTCACCAGTTCCAAGTGTTTCTCTTGCCATTTTTGGATTTTAGCATTCATTTAACAACTGCATGGATGTGAGGGCCCTGAGCGCTGGCTTGAGGTGGTATAGAGCAGTCTCCCAGGCCTTGAGTGGACCGAGTTTTATACTCCGCCCTTTGCATAATTATCTAACTGGGCCCCAAACTCTCTGTGGTGGCCCCTGGGGGGCTCCGAGGGGCCTGGGAAAGCTGCCAAGGATCAGCCTGGAGCTAGTGCGTGGTCCAGGCTTTAACTGTGGCTGTAGTTTCTCTACCTGAGGCCTCTATTTCCTTTACTGTGAGGCTTGTAGACAGAGTATTAGACACACAGCTACGTGAAAATACGTAACAGAGAGCCCTGAGGATGCACCGAGCTCGAGGGGAAGGAAGTTTGTCAGCATAGGCTGGGTGAGGCAGAGGTGGGGAGTGTGTGACCCTGATGCCCCCATCCCCATGATGTCCTTGTGGTTGAGGTCTCAGGCCCAGCAGCAGGTGGACTTGGCATCGGACGCCTCCACATGCTCTGTCCTCTCTCCACAGTGTGCAGAGGACACCAAGTTCCTGGTTCGGGCCTCGTATCTGGAGATTTACAATGAAGATGTCCATGACCTGCTGGGGGCTGACACCAAGCAGAAGCTGGAGGTAGGCGCAGCTCTGGTGTGGGCGTGGGGGCCCGTGGGGGACACCTGCAACAGGTGGCTTCCATGAGAAAAGCAGGGAAGGCATCCTGGGGCACAGATTCTGACCAGAGCGGGGACTTTGGAACTTGAACTTTGGAGTCGTTGATGCCGGAGACGGTCAACAGGCCTCCTTGACCACACAGTGGGGCCGAATCTCTCTCTGGGCAGTGCCACCTCTGTGTTTTGAAACAGAAGTTTTGTGATTGACTTTATTTGGAAAAAAAGGATGCGGCTCATAAAAAATTGGTATGAAAATCCCCAAGGGCCCTTCAAGCTAAGAAGATACTAACATTATCACGGGCTGAGTATTTATGATTTTCTGGCTGCTCCGGGCACATTGTTCCATTTAACACTCAGAGTCAAAGGGTTGAGTAGATACAATGTTGCCTTTACCAATTCACCAGCGAGGAAGGGCGGTTTAGAGGCTCCTTAACTTGGCTGAGTCTCACACCGTAACAAGTGGCCACATCTGGATTTGAACCCAGGTCTGTCTCATCAGGGTCTTGGGTCTCAACATCTTGCTGCACTGCTGCTGTTAGGAGACCAAGGACTCGTGATCTGGCCTCCCGAGACTCATGGGGGATTAGAGCGGGAAGTGAGGTGAGCCCCTGAGCAGGGTGCTGGCTCCTGCTAGACGCTGACTGTGTGAGCTGCTTCCTGCCTTTGGGATCGGAGAAAGGACGGCACGCGTGACAGGGGGCTGCCACACGGAGCCCTCAGGAGACGGAATCGAGGACAGATGGGGAGCTCATGCCAGAAGAGGTCAGGGCTGGTGCAGTCAAGCAGTGAGCCTTCAAGCATTTCATAAATTGTCGGGTCTCCTAATAGACTCAGGATGAAAGAATATCATTTCACAGCAGCGGGGAGCAGAGTTAGGCGCCTGGGGCCCTGTCCAGATAGTCAGAGCCAGACTGGCTCTGCAGGGGGCCCAGTGAGGTGAAGACAGCTGTGGAGACTGGACAGCCATCGGCGTGGCCAGGCTGGTCTCAGGTCTGGGACCTTCACCTTGGTGAGAGGTCCTGACCTCATCTGTCTGGGGCTCTTTAAATGCTGGTTGGACCTGGTATAATCCAGAGGGGAGAGGCCAGCGGGGGATGATGACACAGATCTGGGGCCAGAAATCCCCTCCGGTGTCCCCTGGTCCCTCTTGTTCTGCCCCTCCAATGTTGCTTATCTGACACTTTCTCCCACTGGGGGTGGGGTGGGGATAAAGAACAATAATTTCAGGTCCGAGAGAGGCAGGGATGGTCATCGCTTGATTTAGTCATTCATCAAACTTACTGGGGAGACCGCCCACCCAGAGCCTTGCTGCATCTTCTGTCTCCCAGAGCTGAGTCATGGCTCAGCCCCCAGCCAGGGAAATGGGGAGAGGAGGCAGCCCAGGATGTTGCCCCACTTGGCACCTGAAAAGGCCTGTGTGGAACCTAGTGCTGGACCACGCCACATCTGGGCAGAGGGAAAGGGCCTTTCTCCTCCATAGACACAGGCGTGGGCCCTGGTCACATCCCTGCTCCTGAGCCCCTCTCCATCCCTGCCACATCTCAGCTGGTTGCCATGACGACCTGCTCTGGCCTCTTGCAGCCAAGATGAGCAGTTTCCAAGGCACAAGGCTTGCAGCTGTCAGCCATTCACTCAGTGCCACCCTGGGGCATGGGGCAGGCTGGGAGCAGGAGCAGTGGGGAGGGGACTCCTGGGGACATCAGAAGGTGTGCAGGGCAAGTCTTCCCAGGCATACAAATAGTCCGAGACCTCTTAGGCAAGAGGCTGTCTGTTGAGGCTGTGACTTAGGTCCAAGGCTCTCTGTGACCTGTGTTCCCCAAGCGTCCTCGCTAAGTACCCACAGCACGTTTTATAGATCCGTTTCCTCCTGATTCTTGGAACAATTTTGTGGAAGCAGCCTCATCCCCATTTCACAGATGAAAGAATTAAGGCCTGGAAAAGCAAACTGACTAGCAAGTGACTGGCTGGGTTTCTGCCCAAGCCACTCGCAGGCTCACTGCGCTGGGCAGGACTCTGGGCTCCTGAGCTGCGGGGATCCAGGGAGCCTTAGACACAGCCCCAGAATCCTATTCCAGTCAAGCTCTGTTTGCAGGGGCCTGTGCTTCTCTCCTTTATGCTCATCCTCTCTGCCACTTTCTGTGTCTAGCTCAGCCCTTTGTCAGCCCTCTGGGAGGCTGATACAGAAGAATTTGCAAGTTTGAGGCCAGCCTCGGCAACTTAGTGATTTAACAAGGCTCTGTGTCGAGGACTGGGGACACAGCTCCGTATGAAGTCTTTGAGTTCCTTCCTCATGCCACAGACAGACAGAAGGTCAGCCCGCTGTCACCTTAAGCTGCAGCTCCTGCAGGGTGTCCAGCCTCTCTTTACCCTGTCTCTGAAGCTCTCTATCACCAGAGGCTTCACTAAGAGCTGTGTGACCTTCAGCAAGTTGCTTAACGTTTCTGAGCCTCAGTTGCTCCTCTGTTCCTCTGAGCCCATCCCAGGCGAGGTCTGCCTGCCTCTGCACTTCACACCTGAGCAGATGGTACAGTCTTTGCTTCCCCCTCCTCGAAGTGCCTTGCAGGGGTGAGGAGGGGTGCTCCTGGGACCCCTGAGGCTACCCACAGCAGCCATCCACAGCTTCTGAGGTTCTGACCAGCAGGGCCACTCAGGCCATTCGGATGCCTGCTGACTTAATTCATTCTGCTCTTGCCGGAGTGGTTGTATTTCCTCTTGCACTTGAAAAATACTTTGTTTCACAGCCCTGCGTCAGCAATGAAGCAGCTCAGCTGCCTCAGAAGCAGGCGGGGAGCTCCTAGGCATGTTTATTTATGGCTGCCATTGCTCGGGGCTGGCCTGGCTCAAGCCCAGCCAATAGCCCTTCACCTGCCATGGTCTAGGGACCTAGGGACAGTCCTGCTGCCCCAGGGAACAGCAGACAGATCATCAGGACAAAGGAGGCTGCATTCAGAGCCATTGGTGACTGAGGTTCAGGGTAAGGCCCCTGCCCGTGGTCCCACAAGGAGGAAGCAGGTGCAGGTTTGTAGCCGGCTGAATCTGGAGTGGACCCCTGGCTGTTATAGCTATTTGAGGTGCCCACCTGCACTGCAGGAGGTCAAGGTGGTCCCATTTGGGCCCTTTGCTCTGGTTCCTGGAGGAACGCAGATCTGGCCCACTCGGACACAGAAAGCCTACCCCCACCGTCCCTCCCTGCAGCTGAAGGAGCACCCCGAGAAAGGCGTGTACGTGAAGGGACTGTCCATGCACACGGTGCACAGCGTAGCCCAGTGCGAGCGCATCATGGAGACCGGCTGGAAGAACCGCGCGGTGGGTTACACTCTGATGAACACGGACTCCTCGCGCTCCCATTCGATCTTCACCATCAGCATCGAGATCTACGCCGTGGGTATGCGGGCCGGAGGGCGGCCGGGGAAGCCAGGCCGGGTCCACGCTGCTAGCCAAGCGCCTGCGCCTGCTGGGCCTCCCAAGCCCCGTGGGAAACTGGGAAGGGAAGCCCCAGCCATTGGACGAGCCGACCGAGCGTCCACCCCAGGCTGGGACCTGTGCTTCCTGGATAAACGCCAGGCACGGTAATGACACTGCAGGCCAGCCCTGGGCACTTAGCAGGGCCCACGCAATTGATGAACACATTTGTTCCTCCCATGAGCTGCTTGATAACATCCCCCTCATTTTGCAGATGAGAAAATTGAGGTCCTGTGACTGAAGTGTCAGAGCGGTGTGTGTGTATGTGTGTGTGTGTGTCCCAGCGGTCTGCCCCCAGGGTGTGATTCGCTTAGCATCCATAGGCCGGATGCAGTGTTAAGCACTTTCCACACCTTTTGTGTAAATCCACTACAGTCCTAAAAGTGGGCTCTGTGATTTTCATTTTACAGGTGAGGAAATGGAGGCTCTGAGAGGTGGTGTGATTAGCACGTTCAAGGTCCCACAATTGCTAAGTTAGAGTTGGGATTCGAACCCACGTCTCCCAGGCAGCTGGGTTTTCCCATTAACGCTGTAGCTGTCTCCAAGTTTGTGGTTTGTCCTGAGTAGAACCCTAAAGAGCAGTAGAGCAGGAAGCAACCCCAGCCCAAATAGAAGCACCATCCCTGAGAGGGCCCTGCCCTGCCTCGAGGATGGCGTGGCCTGGCCCCAGAGCAGTGCCCTGCTGGTTACTGAACCAGGAACACCCCCAGGAGTGCCATGTCTCAGGAGGTTGGGATCAGAATGGTGACAGCCTCCTGGGATGCCACTGGTGAGGAGCAAGGATTCAGGGCGCTGGATGGGCCAGAGGGGAAGAGGACAGTTGGTGGGCGACCCTTGGGCTTTGCAGGGCCCTTGAAGGTGGGACTGACACCTAAACAGCTACTGATAACATTTAAGCGGCGTATGTTCTTTTGATCCTTTTTTGAAACACAGTTGAAACCATAGATTCTGAGTGGTTCTTTCCTTGAGTTTTATCTTGTACCACTCCTAAGCAGTTGGCCACATTGTCATCTCTGTGTCTTCATGACTGCGTGGTGGCCAGAGGTGAGCCTGTTGCCTGTGCCTTTTGCACCCAGTCCTTGGCAAGAGGTCAAGATTGTTTCCAGTTTTTCAGTGCTGTAAATAATACTGTGATGAACATCTTTGTGCACAGAAGCTTTTCTGCTTGGAGAGTCCTTTCCTTGGGTCAGATTCTGTGGATGCAAAGAGTACAAACACATTTAAGGCACCTGGGACATTCTGGTTACTGGAGATTGAACCCAGGACCTTTGCACTGAGCTGCATCTCCATGCTTTTTAAATTTTTTATTTTGAGGTAGCCTTACTGAGCACTCCTCCTGCCTCAGCCTCCCAGAGTCCTGAGACTACTGGCGTGCAGCACTGTGCCCAGCTCATTTGATAATTCTGCAAATAGCTTTCCCAGATGGTCCCACATTCCTTCCCCCACTTTTTTTAAGTATGCAGAGCCAAGCCCCTCACATGGCCATTTATAGTAATCAAACTTATTTCCTATTTCTAGTTGTGGCATCCATGGACATAACTCAGGCCACTTGGTTTCTGTCAGTGAGAAACAGAGGCTGCAGCTCACTGGGGGAAGGGCCGCGCTTAGCGAGCTGCACAGCCTCTGAGGGTGGAGTCAGGATGGGCCCTTTGCTCCCATCCTGTCCCCAGCTTTCCATCGCCCTCGACATCCAGGGTCTGCCCCGTGGTCCCAGCCCCTGGCTGTGCAGAGCTGACCTCATTTCCGGGGAAGTGGGCACCTGTCGTGTGCTGGGCAGGCAGAGCCTGGAGGGCTGTGCTGCCGGATTGCCTTATTCCTCCCAACAACTAGCCCGGGTGGGCAGCCTTTGCTAGTCTCACTGTGGGAGCCAGAGGGGTGCTTGGTTTGCTAATGGCACACAGTGAGGAGGAGGCAGTTGGAAGTGTGAACCAGATCCACAGGGCTCCAAAGTCTGTGCTCCCTCATGATCCAGCTGCTTACTCCCTTTCTCTGCCCTTGGGCTCATAGGAAGTCTGTAGAAACTGTTGTGGTGACCAGAAGGACTCCTGCTGCCTTCTGTGAACAGCCTGTGACTCTCAGTCCCCACTCCGTGAACTCAGACAGCCCTAGGTTCTGATCTTAGCTTTGCCTCTTGGCAGGTGTGTGACCTTGAGCAAGTTAGGTGACCTTTCTGAGCCTCGGTTTCTTCATCTGTAAGATGGGCACAATAGTAGCACTTCTTTCATGGGACTCCTGTTCAGCCAGCCTGAACCCTCCACAGGTGGTGGCACTCAGGGTTCAGTGGTGAACTCCCCTCTTCACTGAGAGGTTCATCCCCAAGCCTTTTCCCCCCTGCCTGATTGTCCACAGATGAGCGGGGCAAGGACCACCTCCGAGCAGGCAAGCTGAACCTGGTGGACCTGGCGGGCAGTGAAAGGCAGTCCAAGACAGGGGCCACAGGGGAGCGGCTCAAGGAGGCCACCAAGATCAATCTGTCCCTGTCGGCGCTGGGCAATGTCATCTCTGCCCTGGTGGACGGTCGCTGCAAGCACATCCCTTACCGGGACTCCAAGCTGACGCGGCTGCTGCAGGACTCGCTGGGGGGCAACACCAAGACACTGATGGTGGCCTGCCTGTCCCCCGCCGACAACAACTACGACGAGACCCTTAGCACACTGCGCTACGCCAACCGAGCCAAGAACATCAAGAACAAGCCTCGCATCAACGAGGACCCGAAGGACGCCCTACTGCGGGAGTACCAGGAGGAGATCAAGAGGCTGCGGGCTATCCTGGAGCAGCAGCTGAGTCCCGGCGGCCTGTCAGGTGCCCAGTGGGCAGGGGCGGCAGGGAGGGGACCTTTCTTTCCATCCTCTGGGAGCCACGTGAGCAGCGGCCCCTGCTCCTCGCACGCTGTGGGGTGCGTCCTTTGCAAACTCAGATGGCCCCGCTGATGTCGATCTGCACAGTGTCTTTCTGTCCGGTGTATCTGGCCGGTCCCATCAGCTGCATGCCTGGCGCCCACTCGCCGCCTCCGGCTGCTCGCCGTCAGCCCCATCTGCCTGCCATCGCTGTGGCAGCGTCGTGATCTAGCAGCTGGGTGACTCACCTCCCCTCCCCACCCTGCTCCTGAGCAGGCTGTGGTGGCTTTCATACCCCGGCATCTGGCTGTCACCCGGCAGGTAGCAGCCCTCGCGGGAACAGTGGCCTGCAGGGCCCTTGGCTGGATGGCGCTATGGGGCAGGGGGGGGGGGTCTGAATCTCAGGCTCTCGGGGGAGGGGGTGCAAAAGAGCCTGGGTTTGTTCCTGCCCACGTGCTTCTGCCATCCGCCCTACCCGGCTGCTCATCGAGACCACCCACACCCCGCCGCCCCCTTCCGCCCGCTCATCCACCTGCCTTCCTCTACTTGTTTATCCGCTGTCTGCCACTCTTCTTTTCTTCCTTCTTTCCGTTCCCTCCCTCCCTCCCTCTTCCTCCTGTGCTTCCTTCCATTTAACCTACCGCCCATTCTCCGGTTCTGACCCGCCCCCTGTCCACCCTCCGTATTCCCACTCTCACTGGCAACATCCTCTGTCCGCCTGTCCACCAAAAGTCCCCGAGCACCTCCTGTGTGTGTGGACCTGTGCTGGATGCTGGGGACACAGGGATGACTCGGACCCAGGCCCGAGGGCAGAAAGGAGCAGCCGAGCAGGCTGCCCGAGGAGGTGGCACTAAGCCATGTTGAGGGTGAGAGGGTTTTGCCTTAGGATGAGAGCGACATTTATGCAAAGCTGTGCAGACACTGGAATTGGGGAGCTATAACACCCCCACAGGCTGCTTAGGGTGGGTGGGGTGACATCAGCTGAGGGCAGTGGGATCTGGGGTCACAGAACCTAATGGGGATGGGTGGACCCAGGCTCTTGCAAGCTCTCTTCTTCACCCCCGTCCTGGCCGTGCCTGCCCCAAGTTGGGTGAAAGAGGAGAAAGGAATCGGGGGGGGGGGGCAGGGGTGAATCTCCACGGTGGGTCCCATCCTGTAGCCAATGTCTGCACCACCTTCCAGTGGGGGCCTGGTGTCACCAGGTCAGGCTGCCCCTGGATCTGGAGCCAGGTGCTTAGTACAGGGCAGTGGCCCTGGGTGGGCAGCTGAGGCTCAGCAGGCTCCCCCCATGCTCCCGGGGCAAGTGACTCAGCCCTGAGCTACTCTGTCCTCTACCACAGTGACCTGCAGGAGGGTGACCTAGTGACTGAAGGCCAGCACAGGGCCGCACGTGCTGCCCTGACCCGAAGCAGCTTTGGCCGGGGGTGGGATCTGGCTCTGTGTGTGTCCTCCGTGTCCAGTGCTCACTGTCCCACGTGGCCCACACAGCCTCCCTTCCCGTTACGGGTGGATCCTGAGCCTTCCTCAGCCCACACTGGTCCTGTGTCTCCTCTGTGCGCTTTCAGCCCCGCCCCCACTGCCCTGTCCTGCAGGGGCAGCCTTTCCACACCTGACCCTGCTCCCCATGGCCCTGTCCCATGCCCCCCATCCTCCCCTTCTTGACTCCTGGCGCTGGGCAGAGGGGCAGCTCAGGCCTGACTGCTTTCAGTACTTTTGGTGGCCTCTGGGACCAGGATCTTAGTTGTCAGGTATCGGACCCCAGATGTACAGAGGGGATGGCAACTCCAGCTAGGTGTGTGGGTTAAAGGTTAAAGGTTAAAGGTTAAAGGGCACGGCAGCGTGGGCTTGAGGTCTGTTGGCTGGCGCTTTGAGTGCTGTCTCAGGAATTAGCCAGTGCTTGAGGGCGGTTACCCCTGACCAGCAGAACCCTCCTAAGATGTCAGAACATCCAAAACACAGAAAACTTTAGAATAAAACAATGCACTGTGTTCTCCACACCCCAGATTTGACCCTGCTGCCACCAGATAAGTATTTCACACCAGCCAGCCCTGTGTGAAGCCCTGCCAGACCCTAAATCTGTGTGTCTGCAGCTGTCTCCACCCAGCTGGTGGCAGCTTAGTCCTTCTGGTCTCCAAGCAGAATCCCTGAATCAGTCAGGGCTTCACGCTTCTCTCCAGTTCCCCCCCAGGCTGTCCGCAGATCCTGGTCTGAGACATCGGTTTCCCCCCTGAGTCACTGCACAGTGCCTAGGAGGTCTCCCGGCCAAACTGCAGATCCTACAGAGCTGTATTCCCTTTGCTCCAATGAACACCTCTAGTGGTTCCACTTAACCCAGATGAAAGCCAGAAGCCCTCCTGATGGCCTCTAGGCCCCCAGAGCTGGCCTCATGGAAGTGCAACCCAGATTTTCCTCACTGCACCAGTATAGGCTCAAGGCCTGCCCCAGGGCCTTTGCACCCACGACCCCCAACTGTCTGGAAAGCGCTCTGCTGCCTCTGTGCCTCGCTCTGTCATCTTCACTCTCCCCACGCCCCACTTGTCTGATCGCAGTGTGGACGTGCAGCCTCCTGTCCGGTCCTTCTTTCTGCGCAGCCTCCACAGCTCGCTCCTCCTCTTGTCCCAAGTTTGGTTCAATGCTGCAGCCTCAGTGTCTGGAACATCCGGGCTGTCCGTACAGATGTGTTGGGTAACCAAGTGACTCAGTGACCTTGTGCCTTGCTTTCGGCTCCTCATCCTCTGCTTCTCCCTCAGCGCTCCTGTCCAGCCAGCTGCCCCTGAGCCCTGCCCAGGTGGAGGAGAAGCTGTTGTCCAGCCCTGGGATCCAGCAGCAGGACGTGGAGACTGAGAAGCAGCTGATTCGGGAGGTGAGACCTGAGCAGATGGGAGGAGGAGAACTGGGCTGGCAGGTGGGTGGGGCCGGGCAGGTGCACCGTGACCAGCGGTGGTGGCAGCGGCAGCCTCTGCATCCCTTTGGCAGCTGAGAAAGCTGGAGCTCAGAGTGATGCTGTGTCAGAGGTGGCAGTGCTCGCCTGTAATCCCACCATTTTGGGAGGCTGAGGCAGGAGGATTCTTCAAACCCAACCGGGTTATTTTAGCAACTTAATGAGATGCTGTCTTAGATTAAAAATGAAATGAGAGGAGTCTCATGCTGCAGCTTGGTGGCTTGGCAAGGGCTCCCGCCTGCTGTGCCGCTGTTGGTCTCTGCCACTCCACCATGTCCTCCCTCGGGGTCACCCTGGATGCCCCGTCAGGCTGAGGCCTGGGGTCCTGACTAGGGGCAGGCCTGTAAGGCCTGGGGGACCTCAGCCATTCATTTGTCTTTCCACCTAGGAGTGTAGGACAGGGGCCAGGTGTCCGGATGGCCTGGGCCTGGCCCCCGGGGGTGGTGGCAGCAAGAAAGGGACCTTTGGGGATGTCTGAGCACAAACGCACAGAAACCAGAGAAGTCGTGGCAGGGCTCAGAGTGGGCACAGAATTACACCACAGGGGACTTTGGCTGCACATCCAGGAGGGGAGTAGAGGGCTAGGCAGGAGCTGGGGTGCAGGTATGGTCCACAGGAGGCACAGCTGGGTGACAGGCGCCCTGGCTGTCCAGGGAGCGAGATACCACGCCCCCTGGTGGTCAAGGGAGACACCGTTCGGCAGCTGCGTGTGAAGCTCTGGGTGGGAAGTCATCCGCCCAGGAGGCGCTGGCACCCATCAGCGTGCTTAGCCCAACCCTGCCACCCTGAGATCCGCTGGCTGATCCTGGGGTTTCTGCTTGGAGGAAGGGTGCAGGTGTCTGTCCCCTTGCTTCTTCTCACTGTCTTCCTGTGGTCATATTCTCCAGTATCTGCCGAGTTCCCCGGGGCTGTGCTAAGTGGGGAGAGCTGCGGTCTGGGCTGGGAGATTTGGACCAAGAGCTCCCCAGTGTCCCTCCTCCAGCTTTGCTGTTATACTGGCCCTTTTTAGTCAGGCTCTGTGGCCTCCAGTGGGTCAGTTAAGTTCTCTCAGCCTCTGTTCCCTTGTCTGTACGATGTCTGTCTGTCCTGACAGCTTTCCTGCCATTCATACAGACTGACCCAGGCAAAACCCAGGGCCATCTCGTCTTTGGGTGCAGGGGCTGAGAGCCAAGCTTGTGCTGTGACACCCATGCAGCCCTGAATGCACAGGTAGCCCAGCACCTGCTGGACACCACAGTGGCAGGGGACGTGGTGGTGGCCGTGGGCTGACTCTTTGATATGGGAAGAGAGGGCATGCTTTGTAGACTGTTTGGTCAATGGCAGAGGGAGATGTCCTGTGTGGTACAGGCCTGAACATGTAACGGGCTCTCAGTGGGGTGACGCAGCTGCAGGTGGCTCACATCCGAGACACAGGGGGAGGCGACAGTGCCCCGCTGCTTCTGTGTTCTCCGGAGGAGGAAAGGAGGTGATATGGGGGGGCAGGAGGGTGAGGATTGGGAGGTGAGCTCAGCACTGAAAGGAAGGGGATTGCGGAATGCTGCGTGTGTAAGTGCATACGTGTATGTGCTCGAGGTGTGTGTGCTAGGTTGTGCTAAGCGTGCCGAAGTGGTGGGCTGAGGCCTGGATGTCACTGGGGTGCCACCGGGGCAGGGCTGTGCTGGTAGGGAGCAGTGTGGGTGCAGGGCAGAGGCTGCGGCACCTGCAGAGGAGTAGGAATAGCATTGGGCCAGGTTCTCAGCCAAGTCAAGACAGGAGTGGCACAGCAGATGGGGAGTGGCCTGCTGGCCCAGAGAGCTGCCTGGCCTGGGCAGCTGGAGGACCCCAGGCTCTGCAGGTCTTAGCAGTAAGCTCAGTGCTTGTAGACGTGTTGATACCCGCTCTTTGGAGGGTGCTGGCAGCATGCCTGGCTTCAGGTACTGAGAAGAATGGGTCTGAGGAGAGAAAGACCCCCTCTCAGAGGTGGGGCTGAGCCCAGGCCTGGGGAGGAGCTTGCTAGGGGGCCAGTCAGCCCTGAGCAGGGAGGAACTCCGTGAGCTCGGGGAGGGGGAGGTAATCAGTGCCCCAAATGTGGCAAAAATGAGGGAGGTCTGGGCTGGGGGGTGACACTCAATGGTATGGTGCTTCCCCAGGATTCGGGGGCTCCGTCTCCAGCACCGCCACCAAACAAAGGGAGGGAATGGCTAAGGGAGGCAGGCGCACGTCTTGTGGAGGGCTCAGGCCAAGTCAAGGAGCTTAGATATTATTCAAGAGCCTGAAGGCTCACAGACAGATCTGAAGCAGTGGTGGGTGTGGTTTGGGACCTGAACAAGGATGAGGTGGGGCTGGGCGAAGGCTGATGGGACAAGAGCTGGTGTGACAGCAAAGATGGAAAGGAAAGCAGATGAATGGAAATATGTTTTGTCGTCGATGCGTTGAGAAGAACTTGATAAAAATGCATCTGTCAGTGCCGGCAGATGTATGTGACCGAGTATTATGTGAGGAAACCAGATTGCAAACAAACACACACTCATCAGTCCATTGAAAGGGCACAGAGAAGTTGGTTACAGTGGTGCACTGTGATTCTAGCACTGAGACAGGCTGAGGCAGCAGAATCCCAAGTTCAAGCTCATCCTGGACAACTTAGAGACCTTGTCTCAAAATAACAGGAAGAGCTGGATCGTGGCTCAGTGGTAAAGTGCAAAGCACATGTAGGTTCCATCCCCAGTACCGCAGATCCAAATCCAACCAAACCAAACCCTGCACAGAGAAGGGCTCGGACTGAGCAGTGCCGGCTGTGGGACCTGGGGGAATCTTAGTTTTTTTGTTTGAACTCACTTGGATTTTCTGAATCTTCTGAGCAGCCAGAGAGGAGCACTGGGAGTTGAGTTCCGAGCAGCACAGCAGTAAAGCACTGCCCTGGGTCTCCCTGCCCATCCAGGAGTACGAGGAGCGCCTGGCCCGGCTGAGGGCCGACTACGAGGCCGAGCAGGAGTCCCGCGCCAGGCTGGAGGAGGACATGACTGCCATGCGCAACTCGTATGACGTGCAGCTGTCCACGCTGCAGGAGAACCTGCGGAAAGGGACAGGTGGGCGCTGCCTGGGCTGCAGGAGGGGTCTGAGCTGTAGGGCTGACACGTAGAGCCCAGGCCTGGGGTGTGTGCCCAGTCTACCCTCAGAGCAGTGCAGTGATACGGGCACCATCATTACCCTCCTTTCTTAGGTCAGGAAACTGAGGCACAGAGATGTGAGTATGCGCCCATGGTCATGCAGCTGGGGGAGTCGAGCCGGGACTTGAACCCATGCACTCTGGCCCCACAGAGATCTCACATACAACTCTGCATCGGGGGCTTATCTCCAGCTGCGCCCTCTGCAGGCCAGCCCAGAAGAGTGACGCATCACCCTTGTTGGAGGGGAGAGTCCTTGCCTTGTTTCTCTGTTTTCTGTACTCTCCTCTCCCCTCTGAGCCTGTCTGTTACCAAGGCAACCACATCCCAGGCACATGCACCCATTAATAAGAATGTCTGTGTGGAAGCGGCAGGCGCCTTTTTTGTTTGTTTTGAGGTGGGGTCTTGCTATGTAGTTCAGGCTGGCCTCGAACTCTGTGCAGCCCCTGCTGGCCTCGAATTTGTGATGATCCTCCTGCCTCAGCTTCCCAAGGTGTGCGCCATCACGCCTGACAACTGCCGCCCTTTTGATGGTGTAGGTCTAGGATGTGTCACCCAAACAGCTGTGCTGCTGGGTCCTGCTCCCTGCATGCCGTGGCATCCGCGGTCACACGGGTTGGCATCTGTGTGGACACTGCTGTGTTCTGGGCACTGTGTGGTGCTTTACTGACACCCCCTCCCGCAGCCTACCCTGTCCAGATAGTACAGTTCCTCAAACCTCACTTAACAGATGTGGAAACTGAGGCTGGGAGAGGTTGAGGCCACTTCCTGGGGCGTGCACCCCATGTTTCAGCAGAGGGAGCCTGGACACTCCAAGAGGGGCTGGGACACAGGGAAAAAAGGAATGGGTGAGAGCCCCAGGGACTTGTGTGAGCAAAGCCCAGAAGGGCATAGGGCAGCCTCTGGCATTTTCTTTTGTTGTGCCTTTTTTTTTTTTTTGAAACAAAGTCTCACTGTGTAGTCCAGGCTGGCCTTAAACTCCCAGTGATCCTCCTGCCTCAGCCTCCCCAGTGCTGGGATTACAGGCATGTGCCACCATGCTTGGCAGCTTCTAGCATTTTCTGTCCTTCAGAGTAGCCCTTCCAGGTTGAGTACCAGGTTGAGTGAACCATATTTGCCTGTGCTCTATCATGTATCATGACATTCATTTAATGAGCAGGCATCTAGCATGCTCTGTGGCCAAGAGCCCTGAGCCTGGTGCTTCCTCGGGGAGCCTCGAGGCCTAGCTGTGAAGGCAGTAAGATCCACAGGCAGCCTCCTGACTGGAAGAGTGATCCCAAGGCAGGACGCTAAGAACTAGCACTTGGTGGCTGGGAGATCAGACTGCACAGGTCATGTGCTGGTCAGGGAAGCCTTTCTGGAAGAGAGGGCATGGTTCGTGTTCTATGGGGCAGGGATGGACAGCACTTGGGCTAGACTCTAGGGGTGCTGGGGAGGTTTTGACTCTTGGCTGGGCAGTACCCTCCCACTTATGCTTTAAGAAGCTTAGGAAGCCCTCCTTTTGCAGAGGCCATCCTGAAAGCAGAAGTCCTCCACAATGCCGAGGTCCTGTCCAGGGCTGAGTTTGCCAGCAGGTGTGAGCACACATCTGATTTCCAGCTTGAGGCGTCCAGGAAGTCCACCATCTTCTCTGTGCCTGATACCCTGCACTGGGACGCGGTCTCCAACACCCAGATTTCTACCAGATTTGAGGAGCTGCGCAGGGCAGAACCCTCCAAGTCTGAGATTTCTCTCAGGTCCAGTGAGTCGTCCATGCTGGAAGAATCCTTCATGTCTGAGGCCCTCCCTGTGCCTGAGGAGCTCTCTAACCTAGAGCTGCCGGGGCCTGAGGTGGGGTCCCAGAGCAAGTACTTCCTGGATAAGAGCCTCAGCCAGGAGAACTCTGGGACCCAGCTGGAGGGTGAGAACTATATCCGGGTGGAGGAGCTGCCGCTGGAGCCCCCGCAGATGGGACCAAGCCTGCAGGACCCGTTTGCTGAGGTGGAAGCCAAGCTGGCCAGACTCTCCTCCATGGTGACCAGGACAGATGTGCCCCAAGTCCCCATGCAGGTAGCTGATGTCATATATAATGCCATGCAAAAATCTACCAGGCAGTGCCAGGTGTGGTGGCGCGCACCTGTAATCCATGCACTTGGGAGGCTGAGGTAAAAGGAATTTTGCAAATTTGAGACCAGCCAGGGCTACAAAGTAAGTTCAAGGCCAGCCTGAACTGCATAGTGAGAGACTGTCTCAAAAAGAAAACCTAGCAGGCAGAATTGGTCAGGAGCAGAGGTCGCTGTGCGCACACAAGACTTCTGGCCCCGCTGTTCCTAGGTGCCTCCACCGCCTCTCCTGTGGCCCTGGCCTTGGGGTGGCTGGCTCAGGGGCACTGGTGTCCTGAGGTCTAGGGAGGAACACCCTGCCCAGTGTGGCCATTGGGGTGCAGACCTGCACAGTGATGTCAAGCAGTCACCTGTCCACTGACAGAGGGCGCCTGCCTGGGGAACCTGCAGGTGGCCACGGAGAGAGCAGGCCGGGGCTGAGTCCTCACTGGTGCTCACAGACTCTCGGCAGCTAGTGAGAGGTTTCTTGGAGACCCGCTGGGGCCCCTGAACTGCAGCTTCTCCCCCTCCTTCCTATCCACCTCCAACACTTTTTCCCTTCTGAACCCGCTTCTTATAAAGAAATGCTCCTCTTTTATCCCCGTTTTGTTCTCTGCCTTCCTTTCTCATGAGTATGTGTGTGTGTGTGTGTGTGTGTGTGTGTGTGTGTGTGTGTCAGAGCACAGGTCTTTGAAATCCAGCTCTGTCACTTAGTTGTGTGACCTTGGGCCATTGACCTCTCTGGGCCTCAGTTTCCTCAGCTAGAAAATGGGGTGCCAGTGTGTACTTCCTATGACACACAGCAGGGCACACCCCGGGACCGCACAGGTGCTGGCTGGTGCCCTGTGAGTGCCTTGCCTCTTCACCCCTCTCAGCAGTGACAGGTAGAGGCAGCTGTGGGTGGCACAGCCCTGGGGAGTTGTGAGGCGCTCAGGATGGTAGGGGGAGAGAGGAGGCTTCCGGACCTACCTCCCGCTCCCTTCTCCCCCAGCACACCCCCCTGACAGACCTGCTGGAGCCCATCGACGACACCAGGTCTGAAGCTGAGGTGGCTGCTGACCTCCTGCCCAGCACTGTGAGTGACCTCCCAGACCGGCTCTGTCCATGTTCCTGTGACTCTGGCTTGTCGCTTCTCTTTGGGCCTTGGTTTCCCTATCCACAAAACAGAGAAAACAGCCCTTGATCCCCCAGGATTGTAAAAGATGGCCTGCATCCATAGGCTGCGTGCTATAGGCTCTCAGTAGATGTAGGGAGAGCAGTGAGAAGCCCTGGCTAGGAGGAGGCATGGAGGTGGGACCTAGGCAGGAAGGAAAGGCCGGGAAGAGCAGCAGATGCCAAGGTCCTGTGGCTGGAAAAGTCTTCCTCAGCAACAGAAAGAGAGGCCAGGGTGGTGGTGGGGAAAGGCTGGGGGTGGGGACAGGGAGAAGGGGCGGTGGCTAAGGAGGAAGCTGGATTTCCCTGGGGATTAATTTTATGGGAAGTCACGAAGGTTTATAAGCAGTAAAGGGATGTTATGATTGGTTTCTATTTTATTTTATTTTTTTTTACCAGTACCAGGGATTGAACTCACAATCACGCACTTGCAAGGCAGGCGCTTATGCTGCTGAGTTAAATTCCCAGCCCGCTTGGTTTCTATTAGGCTGCCTTGTGGAGACTGGGTCATGGAGGGGAGGTGGGGGACCACTTTTGGGTGTTGGTGGCAGCAAAAATTTGTTTAGATACAACTATTTTTTCTGACTGGGTACAGGTTGAATATCCCTGATTAGAAATACCCAGGACCAGTGTTTCAGATCAGGGTCTTTTAAGTGTTGGAATATTTGCATAGATTTTAACACTTAAGTTTCCCAAACTGAAAACAAAAATAAAAAATGTTCAGATACTCCAAATTTTTGAGCACTCTGAAGCTTAGAAATGTGCAGATTTCAGAGAATTGGGGATTTAATATTTTTGGGTTAGGGATGTTTCTGACCTGTGTCTCCAAGATGGAGATGCTCTGTGCTAGAACTTCTGGGACTGAGGTCATCGGTGAGCTGTCTCTCATCTGGGCTTCTCCCTGTGTCCAGGAGATTGATCTGGCCCCGGAAGTGGCGGAGGTGGCAGAGCCCCGAACATGGATGGAGGCGGAGGTGGCCCAGCCTCAGCCCCTGCTGGCCACAGGCGCGCAGAGGGAGAGCGTGGATGTGGCTGTGCTGACAGAAGTGCCGATGCCCGGCGTGAACCAGCAGCAGGTGCTGGCCCGGTGAGCACCAGATCCAGGGCTGGGGGCCCTGCAGCAGGGCAGGAAGAGGCTCAGGCCAACCCAAGGTGGATGAGACAGGACTAGAGCTTCTTCCAGACACCCCTGCTAACCCACACTGGCTCCCCACCAACTGTAGCTGAGGCAGCTGTGTCCCCTCGCCTGAAACGGGGCAGGTTGACACAGGTGTCGCTCGCTGGGCTTTTGGAGGGCTTGGCCTTTGGGCTCCAGGAATCCTAGCGCAGGGTAACAGAGGCATCCCTCATTCCCTGGCCTTCAGTGCCCTCTGTGATTAAGATACAGCTGCCCTAGAGATAGGCCACCCCCATGATGCCTGAGACTCTCACTTCATGTGTGGCTTTGTGGAGGTCCCTTTTCTAAGGCTCATTTTTCCTCCTGGTGGTAATGTTATCCCAGCTCTGGTGATCAGCTAGAGACCCAACCTCTGCCCAGCATCGGCAGTCCAGCCCCATCAGCCACAGTTCAAAACAAGTCCTGTGCCCAGGAGGTGCTGATGAATGGGTGCTACCCTAGCCTTCAAGGGAGCCTGGGGCTGGGGAGATGAACACCTGGGCTGGGAGCGCTGGGTGCCAGAGCAGTGGGAAGCCCTGTGCTTCTAATCTACCTCCTCCGCCACTGCAGGCCAGCTGTCCACCTCTGAGGGCCTTGGTTTCTCATCTGCAAAATAGGTGACACTACTAGTCACAGCTGGTGACAGTCTAGTTGCAGGCACAGGAAGGGCACCCAGCCACTTTGGGGCCTTTTTTTTTTACCATGGGGTCTAGAATGAAGGTCAGGAAGGAGTCACAGAAGGGGGGCACCTGAGCAAGGTGTGCTAGCCATGTGCCCCAGAGGCGGAGCTCTAGGTAAAGAGCAGAGCAGTGCGGTGGGAAACAGCCTCCGTGCTAGAAGCTGTAGCGGGGATTCAGGCTGGAGCGAGTTGGGGGCTGCTGGTGCAGGCGGAGGTGGGACAGAGCAGCCCGGGTGCCCTCGGCCGTGTCCTGTCTTTTGATGGGGTCTCTAAAAAGTTTTCAAGAGAGGAGTGGTGTGGATGAGGTCTGGTTCTGCTCTGGCTGCTTTGGAGCTTGAAGCAGAGCCCACAGATACTGTGCGCACCCCCAGTTTGACATTCACCCCCTATTCTCTAATCCCCTGATGCCTCTTATCAACCTTTCCACATCTTTGGAAAGAGGCAGAGCCGGAAGCATTTTGAGAGTGCTTTATTAGGCAACAGGGAGTCCCACATGAGCCTTCCTCTGTATTTAAAATCTGTACCCTCAAAGGAAAAAAACTTGAAAAACATTTTTTAGTGTTGTTTTAAAAAATGCTTAGCTGGGCAGGGTAACACATGCCTGTAATCCCAGCACTTGGGAGGCTGAGGCAGGAGAATCATTGCAAGTTTGAGAACAGCCTGGGCTACAAAATGAGATCAAAATGAGCCTGAACAGCATAATGAGATCCTGTCTCAAAAGAAAAAAAAAAATCTAGGTGAGCATCACCTGCTGGCTGCCCCTGAGCACAGACCCTAGCCAGCTCTAGTGGACCAGTCACACTGGGGTGTGTGGCCGGGGGTTAGTCTGTCCTGGGTCTGCTGGAAGACTCTTGGGCTCCCACCGCCCTGCAGCCAAGGTTTGCAGCACAGGTTTGGAGTTGAGCGGATCTGGGAGGAGCTTTGGTTCTGACCTGGAACAGACATCTTCGCTTCTCTGCACCTCAGTTTACCTCTCCCAGAAGTGGGGTTGTGGGAGGGATTTGGTGAGCTCCTGCTCAGCCCCAGAGCTTTCCAGATGGCTCCTGCTCACCGATGGGCCGATCCTGTCATTCTCACTTTCTCCTCCATGCTGGCAGTTTGCAGCTGTTGGAGCAGCAAGTGGTGGGCGGGGAGCAGGCCAAGAATAAGGACCTGAAGGAGAAGCACAGGCGGCGGAAGCGTTACGCGGATGAACGCAAGAAGCAGCTGGTGGCCGCGCTGCAGAACTCAGACGAGGATGTCGGGGAATGGGTGCTGCTTAATGTCTATGACTCCATCCAGGAGGAAGTGAGGGCCAAGAGCAAGCTGTTGGAGAAGATGCAAAGGAAGGTGAGGCCTTGTCCCTGTCTGGCCAGACCCCCCTCCGTGCAACACCTGGCCCAAGGGCAGCCATTCTTCACACAGTGCTTACTAAGCACCTGCTGTGTGCCCAGCGCTGTTCTGTTGTTGAGCATAACACTCATATTCCTGGATCCAAGTCCATCTGCTCACCTGTCTTAGTTACTTTTCTCTTTCATTGCTGAGACAAAATATACCTGACACCCAAAGTTAAAAAGGAAAAGGTTTATTTCACTTTAGTCCATAATTGGCCGGCTCCAAGGCAGAGTAACAGGAGAATAGTTCATGATGGACACAAGATAGCAAAAGCAATAAGGGTGGGGGGAACCACAGCTCTATTCCCATATATCTTATTCAGGCTACCCACCCTTAGTGCTTGATCCTAGCCTTGTACCATGAATCAATTCTAGCATCACATATTCTAGATCTGGCTGCCTATGAAAAGGCCCCACCCATGACTGCATGAGGCTTTGGGGGGACATCTAGACATAAGCCACAACATTGCCTCTAAAAAGCCAATACTCAGGAGATGCACATTGATGGGAGGTCAGCTTTGCTCAAGGGCTGGCATCTTGGAAGATGAGGAGGGAGTTGCTCTCCCCCAAGAGGCCGTGTTGGAGAACTCAGTGTGTAAAAGCCTTTTGTAGGGAGGGACTAGAGGTCCTGTGGGACAGGGATGCAAGGGCTGCATGCTGAGCATGGTCTCTGCCATCCAGGACTGTGTCTCCTTGTTTCCTCTCTGGCTAGAACATCACCAAAGACCTTGACCTCCTGCGCTGGTTAGTATTGTTATCACTTTCTGCAAGTTAAACTTCACAGCAGACTACTGCTCTGGGTTGGTTCATGCGTAGAATTAAATAATAAGAAGGCCATTACATATTCCTGTGTTAGCTGAGGGTCACCAGGTCTGTAAATCTAGATTATTTAGCAATTAACATCAGAATCCTATAGGTTTGGCCATTTTTTTTTTTTTTTGAATTGGGAATTGAACTTCTTGAACCCATAATCCTGGGATGAAGAGTAAATGCTTGTGTGATTTTGTGAGATATTGGCAACTTTCTCTCCAAAGACAGTGCTTTATTTCACATTTCCACTGTGTGTTTTCTCACAGCCCTGCCAAAAAAACTATATTCAAATAACTTGGATTTTTGCCTATTTGTTAGATGAGAATGGCTCAGTGTAGTTTTAATATGCATTTTTATTGCTGTGGGCAATACTGAATATTCTCTCATGGGCTTTAGGGGCATTTGCAATTTCTTCCCTCTGAACTGTGTTTACATCTTTTGCCTATTTTTCTACTGGGGTGGCTGGTCTTTCTGCTCTCTATTTATAGAAATTCTTTTTTTTTTCTTTTTTCTTTCTTCCGGTACCGAGGATCGAACTCACGACTGCCTGCTTGCAAGGCAGGTTGCTTATGCCGCTGAGCTAAATCCCCAGCCCCAGAAATTCTTTATATATTTAGGAACATTAACTCTTGTGTTATGTTGCAGACTCTCCCCCGCCCATTTTCATTCATATTTTGCTATGCTTTATGGTATTTTGCATATAAAATGTTAAAAAGTTGCCAGATTAGTTTTTTTTTTCATGTAGTGAATCATAGTTAAGAAAGTTCACTTGGGGCTGGGGATTTAGCTCAGCGACTTAAGCGCCTGCCTTGCAAGCAGGCAGTTGTGAGTTCAATCCCTGGTACTGATAAAAAGAATAAAAACACTTGGTTTTATGATATGTTTTATAATCGCATGTGGTTAATTCTCGTTCAGTGATTTTCTTTTCTGCCTTTCTCCTGGATATTATTTCTTATTTTTTACATGAATGTATAAACAACTGGGTCAAAAGAAAAAAAAGATGAACTCTTTGAGTCACATTATATTTATAAATAACCTTGGGAGTATTGATTCTTATGTGAGGTTGAATTTTCCTCTCTAGGAAATTGGTGTATCATCCTGCCTGTTCAAATCAATTTTCCTGTCACAAGTGTTGTAGATTCCCACATTTGGATTTTGGACCTATTTTATTAGTTTAATTTGTAGGTATGTTGTTTACTTTCTTATATGGAGTATATCCTCTTCCATTATATTTTTCTAATTGGATTTTGTTTGTAGAATGAAACTTTTTGATTTAAAAAGTATTTAAAAGTCATTGAGAATTAGAAGAGAATACTTCTCAATTCATTCTGGGGGCTAGTATTACCCAAAAAGCCAGACCGAGACATTAATTATAGACTAATATTTCTTATGACTAGTTAAAAAAAAGCTATACTCAGTGTGAGCAAACCAAATCCCAACAGCATAGAAAGAAAAGACTTACACCATGCTGAAGTGATTTTTATCCTAGCAACACAAGGTTGGTTTAGCATTCAAAAATTATGTCATTCACCATGTTAGCAGAATAAAAGACAACAGCACACAGTCATCACGACAGCTGCAGAAAAGCATTGGGTAGAATTCAACATTTGTCATGGCAACAACGCTAAACAAACTAGACGTGAAAAGGGCATATTTCAGCTTGCTAAAGATCGTGCATGCAAAACCCACAGCGTTCATCAGATTTAACGTAAAAGGCTAAATGCTGACCCCATAAGGCCAGACACAGGAAAAGGATGTCCTCTCTGACCTCGCCTATTCAAGACTGCACTGAGGGTTCTAACCAGCACAGTCAGGCAAGAAATCAAAAGGTAGCTGGCTGGAAAGTGATAAAACTCTCTTTATCTGCAAATACATACATATAGAATATCCTAAGAAAACCAGTTTTTAAAAAGGGGCTGGAAGTGTAGCTCAGTGATAATTTGCCTCATATTTATAAGTGCCTGGGCTCAAATCTCCAGCACTGCAAAAACACAAAATTAGTATGAGTTCATCAAGGTTTCATGATACCAGATCAATAAGCAAAAATCAGCTGTATTTTTGTACCCTTGAAATGAACAATATACAAATAAAACTTAGAGATCAGTTCTATTTACATAAAAATAATAGTAAATAATAATAAATCCTAGCACTCTAGATGGCCAAGAGACAGGGGATCACAAATTTGAACCTAGCCTGGGAAATTTAGCATTTTGGCAAGATTCTATATAAAAATAAAACATTAAAATTGTTAGGAATGTAGTTCAGGAGAACAAAACAGTTCATACTCTTGGCCTGACTCATTGGTGGAAATGCTTGCCTGGTATGTGTAAGGCCTTGTGATTCCTAGTATTGAACAAAATCCAACAAACCCTTGTAGGTAGCTTGTAGAACCATCATTCATAACAGCCCTGAAGCGCAAACACTCATGGGTAGAAACAAACTGTGCTACGGCCACCTAGTGGAATGTTACTCCGCAGTAAGAAGGAATGGGGCACTGAGACTTGGTGTAATACGGCCGGACCTTGAAAACACTATGCTAAGTGAAAGAAGCCAGACACAAAGACTGCACACTGTAGGAGTCCATTTATATGAAATGTCCAGAATAGGCAGATGTATAGAGGCAGAGAGGCAGATTGTCTAGGGCTGAGGTTGGGAGAAAGAGGAAATGACTAAATGGGAATGGGTTTCTTTTCTAAAATTGATTGTGGTGGTGGTTGCATAACTTACTGGGAATAGTGGAATCACTGAATTTTATACTTTACGTGAGTGGACTGCATGTGACATGTGAATTATTTCTCAATACAAATGATGTGCCTAGCGCAGCACTATGGGCCTTTAGTCCCAGCTATTTGGGAGGCTGCAGCTGTGGGCACACTAAGTGCTCACTGCATCCTGCATGGACAGCTGGGAGGGAGTAGATGGGTGTGGAAGGAGTCATGGGTGTCCTAAGAGGAGGATGGATGGATGCAGGGGTTGGCTGGATGGTGGCAACGGGAGTGAATGGTGAAGTAGACCATGAGCAGGTGACTGGAGGGCAAAAGCCATCTCTCCTTGGCTTTTGTCATAGTGGCTTTCTTCGTTGCTGAGACACAATACCTGACACAAAGGAGTTATTTTGGCTCACATTTTAGTTCATAGTTGGCAGCATGGCATGGCACAGGGGCACAGCACAGGGGCGTGGCAGAGGAATGGCTGCTCATGGCATGGTACACAGGAAGCAGAGAGTCAAGGGAGGAGTGGGAGAGAGATACATCCTTCCAGGCCACGCCCCCAGTGCCCCTCTTCTGACCAGACCCCGCCTCCAGCAGGCCAGTTTTAACCCCTATGATCCCATCACCTTGCAACAGCCCCACCCATGGGTGCATGAGGGTCCTGGGGAGCAACTAGACAGAAATCATAACAGCTTTATTTATTCACTTTGCTTGCAAATTAAAAAAAAATTTATTAGTACATGTTTGCAGTACATGACGATTACATCCATCATGAGGAGCCCATACAACATACACCACACTTCTCTATTCTTTTTACTTCTTTTTCCTCTCTTTCCTTCCCCCGTCTCCCTCTCTCTTGGTTCTCTTGTCTTCTTGGCTTTCAGCTTCGGGCAGCAGAGGTGGAGATCAAAGACCTACAGTCGGAGTTCGAGTTGGAGAAGATCGATTACCTGGCCACCATCCGGCGGCAGGAGCGCGACTCCATGCTCCTCCAGCAGCTCCTGGAGCAGGTGCAGCCGCTGATCCGCAGGGATTGCAACTATAGCAACCTGGAGAGGATCAGGCGTGAGTCGACCTGGGATGAGGACAGTGGCTTCTGGAGGATCCCCGAGCCTGTCATTGTGAAAACCAGCCTCCCAGTAGGTCAGGAGCTCAGCTGCCCCTTGCCTCATGCCTGTCCTTCCCCAGTTGCCAGGGGGACAGGGACCTGGCCACTCCCTGCAGGCTGTGGGCAGCAGACATGTGACCTGGGGATGCAGCATGCTGGGGCCCCTGTGAAGTGCTGTGCTTTGCATGCAGACAGACCTAGGCTGGGGTTCTGGCGGTACCATTCTGTGACTTTCTCAGGACTTGGTGCCGGAGGACAACAGTGGGGTGGGCAAGAGAGAGGCTGCCCACAACAGCACCTCTCAAGTTTGTGAGAGGCTTCTAACATTCTCAGCCACCGAACACCTTAGCGCTGCCTGGTGCCCAGCAAGTGTCTGTTATTAACAGTGATCATCGCTCTTCCCACCTGCAGCCACTCTGTAGGCTGATGATGATGTCCGGTTACACTCGAGGAAGCTGAATCTCATAGGGTCTGTCACAGCAGTGCCTTGTAGGAGTGTAGGTCTGTACTTTGGCTGCTGACCTCATGTGACTTTATAACAATCACTGTCTCCCTCTGAATTTGTGACAAAGAAAGCGTTGGATAAGATAACCTTAAAGAGCCCCCTCCCTCTGCTGAACCTCAGACTGAAGTCAGATTTGTTCTGGGTCTGCTTTTTGCCACAGACCTGGCTGTGCATCCAGGAAGTGACTTTTGCATCCTTCCATGGCCTCCGGCAGTCCTCCCCTCCAATCACCCAGGCCCTACATCTCATTTTTAGTAGCCACTGGTGCCACCATTCTGTTGGAACTCCATCCAGCTCCGTTTCCTACGAGCTCTGGACAGTGGCAGCCTCTCTCTTGCCCCATCCCGCTGTTGTCCTGCTGGGGTGGGGTAGGGTGGGATTGAACGTGGCTTCAGCCCCAGCTAGGCCTGCTTCCCTCTGGGACAGCTCTGTGACCCACCTGCACTTCCCCTCCTGCATGTCAGCTTCTGTTTTCTCATAGCAGTTCCAACTGGGCCACAGACCAAGCCAGCCCGCAAAACCTCTGCCACGGACACCGGAGAGCTGACCATGGTAAGGTGTGCAGAGCGGGAGGAGTGGGTCTGCACTGCTCTAGGGAGCTGGCTACTTTCATCCTGCCTGAAGGGCGAAGTGGGGGTGAGCCTGGACCCTGTTCTGTCGTTGGCCCTCAACCCTTGCCCACACTGGCCCTCATTCAAGGCACTGACACTTTTGAAAGACCAGGCTTGTCTTGCTGGTGACAGAGACTTGCACCTCAAACCCAGAGGACAAATAGCACGTTCTAGTTTTCTGGGTCTCAGCTGGTATCCTTGGACCCAAAGGGTCCCCAAAATCAGTTCCTGGACTTTTTTTTTTTTGGTACGGGGGATCGAACTCACGACCTCACACTTGCCAGGCAGGCACTTCTGCTGCTGAGCTAAATCCCCAGCCCAGTTCCTGAACTTCTAAAGCCACTTAATTTTTATGTTTCCCAAGTTCTATAGTATGTCAGAAATGTGTGTCCTTAAAGCAGGGGTCAGAAAACCTTTTCTGAAAAGGACTCAGGAGTGTATATTTTGAGCCATAGGATCTCTGCAGCCTGGGTTACAGCCTGGGACAAGCCCAGTGTAGCCCCAGGCCACCAGGTCTCTGGAGGTGCTGAGGCCCTGGCCCGGCCCGATTAGGACTTTACTCAAGGGGATCTGGAATCTCAGCAGGAAGAAGACCGCTACAAGCTGATGCTGAGTCGGAGTGACAGTGAAAATATTGCCAGTAACTACTTCCGGTCCAAGCGGGCCAGCCAGATCCTCAGCTCGGAATCCATGAAGAGCCTCAGTGAGTGCCTGGTGTACTGTACTCCCCACTCCCCAACCGAGAGATGTGGATTCAAAAACCCCACTCCATACATGAGCCTCATTTTCCACAGCTATGAGATGCGGGGGGACACCTGCTTCTCACAGCCTGGTACACAGTACACAGTCTCCTGTGTCCCAGTGTCCTTGGGAAGAGCTACAGTGTTTGAGTCGTCCTCTCCAACATACCAGAGAGGTCCTATGAATGGGTCTTCTAGTTCCTAGCTGCTTCCTCAGAGGCCAGAATGGTGACTTTCCTCAAATTGGATGGTGACTTCATCTTCCAAGGACCGTTGAGCCGGGGCTAGGGTGGGGCAGGAAAAGAACACAAGGATTGAAAATCACTTAATTCTTACACTTTTACAACTGAAGGCAATAGCCTGGCATGGTGGCACACACCTGCAATCTCAGCCCTTGGTAGGCTGAGCCTCGAGGATCACCACAAGTTCAAGGCTAACCAAGACTACATAGTGAGACCCTGTCTCAACAAAACAAAACAAAACAAAACAAAAACACAAAAATGAAAGGCAAGTGGGGCATGGTGGTGTTCATCTGTAATCCCAGCACTCATGAGGATGAGGCAGGAGGGTTGTCTAGAATTCAAGGCCACACTGGACTATGTAGTGAGAACCTGTCTCAACAACAAGACAAAATCGCAAAAAACTAAAAGCAAAGCCCACAGAGCGTGTGATAAAATATCAATAACAAGCATATCTTAGTGTTCTACTGAAGCTCTGTAAGAGACAGTGAGTGGACAGGGGAGTAAGGAAAGGGGTAAGCAGTGGCTGAGTGCCTGGCATGGCGCTATGTCATAGAGGAGGAAACTGAGGCTCAGAGAGGTGGAGTGGCTTTGCCCAAGGTCACACTGCTAGGGAGAGGGAGGCTGCGCTCTGAGTGTGGGTCTTCTGACCTGAGGCTCCAGGATGCCTCAGTCCCAAGCCTTGGCCCAGAGCTGTGGATCTGAAACCTCAACCAGAGTGGCCTCAGAGGGATTCCAGCTGCAGGCCCAGGCTCTGGTGGGGTGGCCTAGGCCAGGCCTCCACCCTGCCCACGTGGTGGTGTTTCCTCTCCACCCCTGATCTCCCCACTCACCGGCATCTTTTGTCGTCTCCTCCACAGTTCATCACAGCTCGTCACCAGGCCTCAGCTCCCAACTCAGCAGCAACTCCGCCATCCTGCCCACCCAGGTCCCGGAACTGCCCCAACCCCGGCCCTTCCGCCTCGAGTCCCTCGACATCCCCTTCACCAAGGCCAAGCGCAAGAAAAGCAAAAGCAACTTGGGCAGTGAGCCTCTGTGATTGCAGCTGCCTGCTGCCACCTGCCTTCAGGCTTCTAAACTGCCAGGCCCTCCCAGGCCAGCCCTGGTCAGGCCTCCTCCCTCACTCCCCCCAGAGCAACTGGGGCCCAAGAGGGTCCTCACTCTTGGGAAGATACATCCCCTTCCTCATTCCCCAGAAGACTCTGCCCAAGCCTGAGCCCCCCAGAGAGGCCTGCTCCAGCTGTCCATGCCACATCAGTGTTTCTGTCTACTCTTTGGCCATGAAGCTTGCAATTTGTGCTGCCAGAGTGGCCTTTGCCTCAATGGGCTCAGCAGCCTGTGGCCTGCCACAGGGCCTTTGCCAGCAGCCTTGTCGCAGGCAGCAGCTGCCACATGGATGAAGTGTTGCATCTTGGTGACTGAGACTGTGCTTCTACGTAGGAGGCCCTTTCCAGAAGGAAGCCTGGCCCCACCAGACAGGCACACGAGTCCTGCAGCACATGAGTCCTTCTGCTTGGTCCACTCCTGGCTGGCTGGGCTGTGGCCCAAAGAAGGCTGCTGCACTTTAAGCTGCCCAATAAACTGCCTTTAGGAAGAGCTGCCCTTCTCTGTTCTTCAGACAGTGACACTGGGACCCCTGCCTGCTGTCATGGGATACTTTCACTGACGGGGGCTCTCTACTGCCTGTGCCCTTTGGTACAGCAAGGTTTCCTCTGCTCCCTGAAGTAGCGAGTACAAATACATTT